TTCGCCGTAGCGGAAAAGACGCGTTTCATGCGGAGCTGGTCCCTCCAGTTCAGAGTCCCTCCATTACTGATGGCGCCACCCCGGAAGTCCGACCAGTTTAATCTCTTTAGCTGTTTCCCCCATCCGGGAGGTCTCCTGAGCCGTACTGAAGCAATTTTAAAATCATATAAGCAGTACTGGAGCAAAGTGTCTCCCAGGCTCCTGTAGCGAGCAGCCTGCCAACAGGGGCATATCTAGTAATGCAGGCCTCCTGCCCTCTTCTCCACATACGGTCAATGAAAAGGGCCCTCTGCGTTGACCTGGTGATCCCCCCATATATTGCATTCTTTATTAAACAATTAGTTAATGAGTGGGGCAGGAAGAGTCATCAAATGACAATGAGGGCGAAGAAACAGAAACACAAACAACAATTTGGAGTCTCATTACAAAGACTAACCACAGTGGGCAAAACACTAAGCGTACACAAGCCTCACTTTGTAGGCCTTCCTTGTATATAACGATGACTTCATTTTCTCTTCTGCGAAGCCCCCAACTTTATTGAAATGATTACTTAGCCAACTCAACCGCTAGCCTTGTTCAAATGGGGATGCTGCTATTCAAATATCCATTAGGAGTGACTCAGATTTCACAACAGCTTCCTGAACGGACAATAAAGATTTGCCTTTCTAATAGTTCTGTGTGGTAACCAAGGGAGGCTCTGGAGGCAGTTCTGGGGGAAAAGAGACCCAAGAAGACTACATTCTTGTTTGACTGTAGAGTTCCCATTCATTTCCCCAACTTGAAAAAAAGAAGCATTTGTTGTGCTAGGCAGAGAGAAAACGCAGGGGAAATTTGCTGAGTTTTTTTTTTGTCCCAGGGCATCCCCCAATTGGTGGGGAAGAGAATTTGGAGATTTGGACTGAGATAGTCTAACCATTTGTTTTAGGTACTTTTCCACTGCTTTGCAGATGAACCTCCCAAGTGGTTAACAGAATATATTTAAACAATAAACATCACTTAAAATTGTAAAATAGCAAAAACATGCTAGAATAGATTATTTATTTTTAATGCTAGATACATGGCATATGAGGGAAAGATGGTCCTTATGTAGCCCTGTGGTAATAGTTGGGGGGTGGAGAAGAGACCCCCTCAACTGGAATATGAGATGCTGGACAGTGAGGGCAGCTCTCCAGGCTGTCCTATTTCTTCCTGTCTGGGGAAAAAATGGTCATTTGGTAGCCTTGTTGCGGAAGAGCCATGTTCATGGTAGAGCTGGGGTGAGGAACCTTTTCCAGAGCACTCTGAAGAAAACATTCCATAACTGGGGTACCACCACTGAGAAGGTCCTGTCCTCTCACCTTCACCTTGTCAGGGCACCTGCAGGAGGTCTTCAAAAGAAGCTCTTTTGAGTACAAGTAGGCACATACAGAAAGGGACGTGGGTGGCGCTGTGGGTCCACAGAGCCTAGGACTTGCTGATCAGAAGGTCGGCGGTTCGAATCCCAGTGACGGGGTGAGCTCCCGTTGCTCGGTCCCTGCTCCTGCCAACCTAGCAGTTCAAAAGCACGTCAAAGTGCAAGTAGATAAATAGGTACCGCTCCAGTGGGAAGGTAAACGGCGTTTCTGTGCACTGCTCTGGTTCGCCAGAAGCGGTTTAGTCATGCTGGCCACATGACCCGGAAGCTGTACGCTGGCTCCCTCGGCCAATAAAGCGAGATGAGTGCCACAACCCCAGAGTCGGTCACGACTGGACCTAGTGGTCTGGGGTCTCTTTACCTTTACTTTTAGGCACATACAGAAGCAGCCAATTCTTCAAGGATTCAGGTCCTAAACTATAATGGGCTTTAAAGGTGAAAACCAGGACTTTCGGTTTGACAGAAATAAGAGCTGAAGAAAGCGCAACTGGCATAACATCATCATACCTGCCCAGTCCCTGCAAGTCTAGCCCCCCCCCCATATTCTCAACTAAATGCAGTTTCCAAGCCTTTTTCAAAGGCAGCCCCATATAGAGTGCATTACAGTAGTCTAACCCGCAAGTTACCAGAATGACCTGGTCACTGGGGCCAGGTCATAGCTAGAACAGCAGTGATACACTGGGTGTATAAGGGATAATAAATCAGTCTCTTTTCAACCAACCTGGTCCTGAGCTGTATACGTCTTTAGATGTGAGTAAGTAAAGTTCATTTAAAGTGAGCCTGCAAGGAGTGTGACTTGGTTGAAAGGCTTTGGGTGCACTAAGATTGTCAGCACAAGCATGTGTTTTCCAGATGGAGTAATCTCCCTCTGCTTCTCCCTGGGCCCTGTTCTGGAGGTCTGCCCAAGCCTCCAGAGATTTGGAGAAAGGGGGAAAGCCCTATTGAGCTAGCAGGAGTCCTTCTGCTGGCGCGCCAGGTTGGTTGAATCTGGTCCTTTAAAACCAAAATCAATTATTTATTTGCACAACTGAGATCTTTCTTGTGTGTGAATGCAGTTTTCCAACTGGCTTTCCTCTGCAATGTGGTTTATAAAGCACCACGTAACTTCCTAAATGCAAACTAGAGGGAAAGACAGAGTGTCTCTAGATGCCAAGTGAGGAAACTGAACCTCACAAGGCATTCAAGGTAATCTTTCCATAGCTTTTCTCTTTGCAAGATGCTTGTGAATTTCCATTAGAAAAACAGCACGGCTGTCACTTGGTGTTGCCATAGTGCTGCTGAATACAGAACATAATAAACTAAGCTGCGGTGCCTCTGCCCCACTCCAGCTACTGTGACCTGCAGTTTGTGTGGCAATTCAGAAAGGTTTCTCTTTAAAAGCTGTTGCTTGATGTATACTACCACTTAACAGATGCTGATTGCTGCCTTTCTCCTGCTGCGTTAAGGGTACACCAAGCAGATTTTGGGGGTGGGGAGGGGGACACAGTTGCACAATAGGAGCACTTAGCAACAGTGGCATTTGTAATTGCTGCCGCTTTGAAGTGGAGCAAGTGAGCCCATTTCTTTTGCCTGAATCAATAAGCAAAATGGCCCCTTCAGTCATGTCCTGGGTGTGCCAGTCTCCAGTGTCTCAAGCACAAAACGGTTTTAACTCCAATAGCCGATTGATTTTTATTTTTTGTATGAAAAGTCATCCTTTCAGGGTCATCTTCGACAAACCAATTTGTTCTTCTGAGCTTCCCTTTCAGGCTTTCCAGCAAGGACCCTTCTGACATTCCCTCAATATGCCACACTAGCAAAGAAAAGCAAACAATGGTGTGTTGGCAAATGGTAAGAAAGGGATTGAACGCTGCTGTAATGTGCTTCTCGCTTAGAACATGCTGGGTGTATTTCATTGGCCACTTCCAAAGGGATCAGGCAAAAATACAGAAAAGAACAGGAAATGTTCCCTTCCAAATGAGGAAAGGGCAAAACACTTGGGAGCGTCTCTTCACACCTGGGACCCAAAGCGGGCACTTTACAGTTTGCCTTGGACTAAGGGTGCAGTCTAAATTAAAGAGAGAGAGAGGTTATAAATTTCAATTTTAGGGTGTTGTCTGCTTGCCCCTCCAAAACATTACCAATCTAAAAACCTAATATAAAAATAAATTCCATTTCTTTATTATGAATCACCCATGAATTGTCACTATTAGCAGAGAAGAAGAGTTTGGATTCGATATCCCGCCTTTCACTCCCCTTAAGGCGTCTCAAAGCGGCTAACTTCATTCTTGAGCCTGAGAGACTTCAGAGAAGTGCGACTAGCCCAAGGTCACCCAGCAGCTGCATGTGGAGGAGCGGGGAAGCAAACCCGGTTCACCAGATTACGAGTCCCCTGCTCTTAACCACTACACCACGCTGGTGTAGAGGGAGGGGCCAAGCTACCAACAAGCCTCCATTTGCCCTGCTGCTTGCAGAGGTCAGTGGCTGTCGCAGCAGAGAATGTGGCCAAGGACTCCCCTTTCCATCCTGCCGTTCCTTCCATGGGAATCACTTGACGTCACCTATTGCTAGTGGAGGTGCCAGCTGTCCACTTTCTATTTTGCACTGATTTTTAGCCAACCATTTATGTGACTTTGATTTCTGACAGTCATCTTGAGCTGGATGGTGAGATTTGAATTTAATTAGTGTTTGATTATTAAACAGTGCCCTGCTGGATCAGACCAAAGGCCCATCCAGCCCACCAATATTGTTATCTCAGCAGCCAAGAAGATGCCTCTGGGGAAGCCCACAAACAGGACACCACTCTCTTCCCTTGCGATTCCCTTGCTGAATCACATTTCCCTGTGGTTCACTATATATTTTGTTGTGTTCACATGATGTTTGCTGGTTTGGAGACCTTTGGACTGAAAAGTGGTATGTAAATACATAATAGTAAAGGTAAAGGGACCCCTGACCATTAGGTCCAGTCGTGGCCGACTCTGGGGTTGCGGCGCTCATATCGCTTTATTGGCCGAGGGAGCCAGCGTACAGCTTCCGGGTCATGTAGCCAGCATGACTAAGCCACTTCTGGCGAACCAGAGCAGCGCACGGAAATGCTGTTTACATTCCCGCCGGAGTGGTACCTATTTATCTACTTGCACTTTTGACATGCTTTCGAACTGCTAGGTTGGCAGGAGCTGGGACTGAACAATGGGAGCTCACCCCGTTGCGGGGATTTGAACCGCCGACCTGCTGATCAGCAAGTCCTAGGCTCAGTGGCTTAACCCACAGTGCCACCCGCATCCCCGTTAAATACATAATAATAATGGCACTAAGTTCTGGTTGCTGGAACCAGTTTCCCTAGGAAGTCAGACCACTGGTTCATAAGGCTCAGCATTGTCAACACTGACTGGCAGCAGCTCTCCAGGATTTTCAGAAGAGTCTCTTCCAGCTCTACCTGGAGATGCCAGGGGTGGAACATGGGACCTTCTCCATGCAAAGTAGATGGTCTACCACCAAACTACAGCCCTTCTTTCAAGTTCAGAAAAGGGGTGGGGGGCTCTACAGTAGCCAAGCACCAGTCATGACAAATACCTCAAGAATTTCCTCAAAATCCTGTAAAGAAAAGCTAAGAGATTAGGAAAGCAAGGCACTGTTAGACTACAATTTATAGTCTCAATATATATATTGCATATGTGATTTTTTTTGGCATCATACAGATCTCTCACATCAACGTTCTTTTGCAAAGTACAGGAAACACATTCGCTCAAAGAAACGTGAAACGGATGCTGCTCAAGCCATCGAACAGTAAAATGCAATCCACGTGGGAAGGTGAATTGTCTTGAAAGTGAAGTTGTCGCTGCCTTTCCTTTGCGTCCCATCTCAACATCATTTAACACCTCTATTAAAAAAATGGTTCGTCGCAGCAAGGCCCACAGATTATGGCTCAAAAACTGTACTGGGCATTTATAGGAATCTATTCAGGCTCTTCAGTTAGATGATGTATGGCATGAACATGCAATGTTCATTACTTGAAAGAGACACTCAGTACTCCAGGACCGGGGGAACTAATTTGATCTCTCAACCCAAAACATGATTTCTTAGAAGGAATCTCCAGAGTTCCATTGGATTGACTTCCTAGTAACTGTGCTTAGGATTACAGCTTTTGTCCTTCTGAAATGAACACTGAATTTACCCCAGATCATTGCAAGGTTAGCTGTCAGTTGACTATAACACTCATATTATCACTGCTTAAGCAAAGGCAAGGGAATGCAATGGGGCCATGCGTAATATTTTCCTACTTCCTAAAGGTGTCAAGAACCATGATAGATGAACTGGGTTAATAAGGATGCAGTATGACACACACTGTCCTCTGGGGTTTGCAGTCGCTGATCTTCAGCTCAAGCATTGATCTTCCTGCCCAAACTGTTCAAGGCAGCAAGGTGAGTTTAGTTCAACACACCTAGTTGTACCATGACAGTCCAGTGACAGTTAGCTGAACTTTCTCCTCCCCTGCCCCAATGCTGACTTGGCCGGAAGCATGAAACTGGTAGCACAGGCATCTCCTGGGCAGATGTACAATCAGAGTGGGCAAGGCTAGCTTTGTTTCTCCAAAGTAAACGTGTCACCAAATTAATTCTCCCAAGTAAATATTAGCTATCGCTACGCTTCCTAGAAGCCACATCACTCAGTTCTTCTCCATAAAGAGTACTGTTGGGTAGACAAACACCCCTCATGAAGATGCATCCACTTTGGCAGAGAAGTATCACAGGGAAAATGAATATTCTACCCCAATATAGCTTTCCATAAACGGAAAGCTGCACTCTTTGATTAGACCCCCCCCCAAGTTTTGCGTTGCCTTAATGCACTTCCCCAACTTGATGCCCTCCAGATGTTGCTGGACTCCAACTCCCATTACCCTGAGATGGCATGGTCAAGGATCATGGGAGTTGTAGTCCTACTAGCATCTGGAGTGCACCAGTTTGGGGAAGACTTACTTAATATTTCATGCTTTTTTTCACCCCAATGGATTCATGCTTCTTCTCAAGAAGCTGAGCACGATCCCTCATTGTAACTAGGGCTTCCTGTTACATCTCATTTGAACCTTTTCCTTGTATTCTAATCCTATGCATGTACTTACTTGGGAATCAACCCCACCAATTTCAATGGAACGTATTTCCAAGTCCATGAACAAAACCTAAGCAGCCTCTGTGGCTGGCACCTCATTCCCTTCCCCACATGGCCCTGTTACGCAAGGCCACCTCCTGCCCTTTCAGGGCAATCCCAACACTTATGGCTTATTTTGTACCAGCAATCCACCTGAAGTGGGAACTTTAGTCTAAAAAGCCTTAGACTAAACTCAGTATCCTTCTCTAAGGCATACCTTTAAAAGAATAGTCTGCCCACCACAACCATTATATACATTCCTCTCCCAGTACAAGGGGCATGTGTATGGGTTGTGAGAAAACTTGAAAGAAAAAAGGGAAAATTCTAAAAAATAAAATTTCATTTACCAAAAAAACAAAAACAACCCACTTAGATGCTGCATCTGTAATCCAGAGAGGCTCTTTGAACAGGCGAGCAGAAGCTGCTGCCTGCTCCCAGGCATTTTGACTCCCCACAGCACCACCAAACCACAGCTGGGCTCGCAACTTCTCCAGAAGTTTTGCCCAAGTTACAGAAGCAGCTTGTCAAGAGGCAGTAGAAGGATGACAAAAGCCCTCTCTGGTCACGAGACGCTCACTGTATAGATCTTGTGCATCCCAGCCCACATTTCAAAAACATTCAGGGGACAAAAAAAAGAAAAAGAAATATCAGAAGGCGATTATGCCATCTTCAGCAGAACCTGTGAAGTGGGACATCCCAAGTCCAGAAACAATCACTGTACCTCCATATACATGAAATACCCAACATCACAAGCAGCAGCAACTTTACATCAGGCAATGATTCTCTCCTTCCCTCCCCCATGCCAGTCCAGAATAAGATTGTTGATTTGCTCTCTTTAAATTATTTTGTAGATCTGTGGGTCTTCCAGAAGAAGTGGTGTCAAGTCACACCCGTTGCCGATATCTCACGAAGGCCCACACGGCAGCCGCCACTATGGCCAGCCCCGGCACTAAGATAACCGCCAAAGGAAGGCCTCCCGGGTCTCCGTCCCCTCGGTGGCTTGAGGGACCATTCTGGGGCAGCAGCTGAAACAGGAAGGAGAGCAGCATTGAGGACAGCCAAGCCAGAGCAAGAAACCTCAAGCAATTTCTAAGGATCACGTACTTCTCAAGCCAAGCAGGAGCAAGACCCTCAAGTCGGGAAACCAGAGGGTGATTCTGCTCCAAGTTAGTATTTGACAAAGCTGAACATTCATTAACCCTAAACGGCTTGTGCTCTTTGCACAATAATGAGACTACCCGAACTTTCTTTTTTATTTTCAATGTCCTACCTTCGCCAAATCTAGCCTCCACATTATGCTTGAGATAAGTCATAAAGTCTCCTATCTCTAAAGAATGGATTCTTGCCATTGTTGAAGGCAGATTGCAGACGCCTTCCTCAACAGCCACTTTTCCCACAAAGCCCACCAACAACCTTCAACCTCAAACTTTGGATCATAACCTGCTTGGGACAAGAGACTCTTTTTTTATATAATTATGATGCTGATGTTGGAAAATCTTTTTCCATGCTACAGTAATCAAGGAGAGGATTTTACCTTCGGCATACCACATGTTGAGTGAGATTTATTCTGAAGGTGACCACATGTGTGTGGCAACAGCAATCATTTACAGTGTTAGGAAACAAGGGAACTGAGAGACACTCTTGAAGACACATCACACTGCAGAACAGGGCTTTGTAGGTGCTGCCTAACAGGTGCCTGCAAACCCTTTTTAGACCCAGCCATATCTTTACCTTCCCCTCATGTTATATATGAAGTCAGGTGTGGGGAAGGAGGACATGGCTTGGCCAATATGGCTTGGCAGGTCAAATGAGGCCACCTGGTGGGACAGATTAGCCCTGCAGGCTCCCCAACACTGCCATGGGGGCATACAAACAACAAATATTTGTTTAAGGTAAAGGTAAAGGTACCCCTGCCCGTACGGGCCAATCGTGTCCGACTCTAGGGTTGTGCGCTCATCTCACTTAAGAGGCCGGGAGCCAGCGCTGTCGGCAGACACTTCCGGGTCACGTGGCCAGTGTGACGAAGCTGCACTGGCGAGCCAGCACCAGCGCAGCACACGGAAACGCCGTTTACCTTCCCGCTATAAAGCGGTACCTATTTATCTACTTGCACTTAGGGGTGCTTTCGAACTGCTAGGTAGGCAGGAGCTGGGACCGAAAGATGGGAGCTCACCCTGCCGCGGGGATTCGAACCGCCGACCATACGATCGGCAAGTCCTAGGCACTGAGGTTTTACCCACAGCGCCACCCACGTCCCCAAATATTTGTTTAGCTTATTACATTTATAGACCGACTTCCTTCCATCATTAAACTCAGGGTGGCAGCCACTGGGTTCTCAGATTCCCATCCAGATACTGACTAGACCCAGACCTGTTTAGCTTCAGCATGGTAGTGACCTCATTTGCCTTGAGACTACACAATCCAAAATCTTTCCAGTGGGTGGAAGAACACCAGAAAAAAGGGCACCGCGAGTAACACAGGGATTGAAAAGTTTCATGTTTAAAATATATGTACAGCCAGATAGGAACTATTTCTGCCCCCCCCCCCTCCATCTTCTTAAGGCTCCTCACCTTCATGGATTACCTCAGAAGCAGCAGTTGGCAGGGCATAACCTTTCAAGCTATAGCGGTAAGTTCCAAGAAACAAAATAATACACACCCTATGTTGAACCTTTAGTGATACTTTATCACCCGCAGTCCTGAACAGATCCACAACGTGCTGGTGCAGCATGTTCTTCAGCTCCTTGCCATTAACCTGAGAAAAAACCATTTTAAAACAACAAATCAGGCATACACAGGCAAGCCAGGTTAGATGCTGGATTGTATATAGCATTGACACAGTATGTAAGTGTTCAAAGGGCTTCACACCCTTTTACATTTTGGGAACAGGCCGTGAAACGGCCAGGATTCTCCATATATTCTTGAAACAGAAAATCCATAACTTCTTAACTATCGGCAAGCACCCAAGCTTGTGAAATCACGCTGGCATTGGAAAGCTTTACGTGTTCAGCAGTAAATGTACGTTACTTGGGATAAATCTCATTGAGAACAATTAAGAATTCCTATCTGTTTTAAGTACTGCACTGTAAAATAAGCAGCACAATATGATAGTATTCCGACAAGTACTTCTAAACAAATCCAATTTGAATCAATTACTATCCAGCCTAAGTGTACCTGCTTTTTGTTAGATGCTGTGGATTTGTCATAGGTCACCTATTTTCCAGGTGAGAACAGAAGGGTTGGATGGGGCAGACACACATACATAAACTGAGGAGCAGGAAAGCCTTAGTATCCAACCATATGGGCTCAGACAAAAACAAAACAAAGCAGTAGGGATGTCCACATAGCCACATCACTGCCTCCAGAAGAAAGTTGCTTATAAATGAGTATTTCTACTTAAAATCAAGAGTAATGTTTAGAAAGAGGGCTCAATAAAAATACCACCAATGTAAATATTAAAAGTTAGCACATTTCCAGAGTTATAAGAAACGTGGTTACGTATCTCACCCCCCCCCCCCGAATGCACTGTGATGCCCTGAAGACAATTTGCTTGTAAAGCAAAAATAATAGTAAGTTGACAAATAGAACTAGAAATTTGGGGCAGGAAAATTCCACCCTCGACCAGTGAAGCTTGGTTCTCACACTGCATTTTTGCATCCCTGGTCACCTTGCCTCTCCTTCTGTTTCCCAGCATGCACCAATGTGAAGAATTAGATTTGTGAGCTTCTTAGAGCAGGGACTCTTGTCTTATTTGCTTGTCTTACTCTTGAAAACACCACATACATGAATGGAGCTGCGTAAGTTAAACAGTGGCTTCAAACCGGGAGCAATGCATACTCTAGAAACACACTAGGGAAATCTGTGGCTCTTTACAGCGCATTTTTATATGGCTCACATAATGAAAAATGATGTGTGACGACCTAAGGGCATCGGTGAGTACATATTACATTTTCAGTGTGCAACAGAGCCTTTACTGTGAGGCAATATTTGCTACTTTAAATTTCAGCTGGGCAGGTGGGAGAAAACTTGGAAGATATCAGTAAGGTTTCTTTTCCCGCAGAGGCAAACAGTCCAAACTTCTAGAAAGGTGGAGGAACAGCATCAGTATCTTACCTGGAAGCTCCCTTCCTTTCACTGCAGATACAAACAGCTCTCAGGCAGGAGGAATTAGCTCCCAGCTTTGGATCACCTGCCTCTGGAAAGGCGGAGAAATGCCTCCATGCATTTGTTGTAAAATAAAGTCACACTGAGGAGGAGAACCAAGCCAGAGCGGATGCTCAGAAGGAGAGCAAACCCATAAAGAAACCAAAAACTCAGCTGGGCTTGAGTTCCACTCACAAAAAATCCTTACAAAGGAGCTTGCAGCTTTAAGCCAGTTTTGAGGAAACTGTTATTATTGAACCTGAAACCATTTCTGTGTAGGGGCCTAAACTACTTACTGCTAAAATTTTGTCCCCCTCCTGCAGGCGTCCATCGAGGGCGGCAGCTCCATCTTCTTTGATTCGACTAACGTAGATGCCTGTGTCATTGGAGATGTACTGCTGGTCTGTTCCACCGACTATATTAAACCCCAAACCTAAGAACAAGGTAGACAGAAATGAGAACCAAGACAAGAAATAAGCCAGGCACCCAAAATACCCAACTGAGGCCATCCTTCTATGCCAGTAGAACTCTACGCCAAAAGCTGGGATTGACTCCAATGCTATATTTTTTAAAAAAACCAAAAACCAATTCTAGTAAAAGCATATTTTTCACTTTAATGTTAAGTAACACAGTTTGGAAAGAAGCCTGAAATTACAATAGTTTTAGGGCCTTCTTTCTGGATACACGATCTTCACGTAAGAACGAGGTCAGGCAAATGTCTCCTTATGTAAAATTGAATTTGTACATTTCACATACCTTAATCAGACAAAGCCAGTGTTAGAAACTCAAATATACAGTGGTACCTCGGGTTACATACGCTTCAGGTTACAGACTCCGCTAACCCAGAAATAGTACCTCGGGTTAAGAACTTTGCTTCAGGATGAGAACAGAAATCGTGCGGTGGCGGCGCAGCAGCAGTAGGCCCCATTAGCTAAAGTGGTGCTTCAGGTTAAGAACAATTTCAGGTTAAGAACAGACCTCCAGAACGAATTAAGTTCTTAACCTGAGGTACCACTGTATTAGCTATTCACCTAATGCCCCCTTAAAGCTAGGTTACGGGCGTAATGACAGAATATCTAGTTGCAATTTTTTTTGCAAGACAAAAAAATTAATTGTGCATTTATCAACATATATACACAAAATCAAGAGTAATGTATAAATCACTTTTCTGCCCCTCGTTTACTGTTTTTATATCCTGAGGCTCATCCAAGAAGAAAAGCACACTACATGGTCCCAGAACTTCATGCTCTGTATTCTCAAGTGGTAGATTCCATGTGTGACTGACTGTTCCCTCGGCTCAAATGCCTTCTGAGCATGGGAAGAAGAAAGGCTAGGATTAAATCTTCTCTGCTCATGTGCAAATAATGATGATGATGATGATGATGATGATACAAGGTGGTCAAACATGTGATCCTTCATCTGTACTAGAAAATGGCATGATCCTATGAGGATTGTGCAAGATCAAATAGGTCTGATGCAGGTTGCCTTGTCAGTTGCTAAGAATTTTAGCAGGCTAGGCCAGCCTTCCCCAAGCAGATGCCTTGGACTACAACTTCCATCATCCCCAACTACCAGAGATGCTGGCTGTGGCTAACAGCACTTGTAGCCAAAAAATATTGGAGGGCACCCAGTTGGGGAAGGTTTGGCTAGACCAAATTTGGACTGTTAGTGAGAAATTGCTTGTGAGCAACAAGCAGCATTTCAGAGACAGAGAGTAAAGTGAGTGGATTGGGGCCCAGTCTATAGTCGGTCACATCAGTGGCTCCACTTTGTTAATTTTAAAGGGGAATGATGGTGGTGGTGAGAAATAGTGACCAGATACAGGTGACAGATTTCCTTCACCTATTATATATGTGTCAAAGAAAATATTTTGGTATCTTCACTCTTGCATGTCAAGCTGTGCCCACACAAAAAAATCCCCTCTTTTATACAGCTGTCAAAAATACAGCAGCCCTGCTGCCTTTGCTTCTGGTCACTCTAAAGAGCAAAGGATATATATGGAAGGAAGGAAGAAAAGCCCCATGTTGAGGCATAGTCCTGGCCCTGAAACAGTTGAATCCTACTAGCCTAGAGTTCATTATTCATGCCATCTCACTTTTCCAGGCAGCAAAGGACAGGCAATCAAGAAGGCCAAATTTCTACAGAAAAGTATTCAGGAGATTCTACAAAGAAGAGTTGACAATGAGAGGGGTAAGTGGGGTGCAGATCCAGTCTGCAACCACTAGTACAGTGGTACCTTGGGTTAAGAACTTAATTCGTTCTGGAGACCGCTCTTAAGCTGAAACTGTTCTCAAATCCCAGATTCCATTCCAGATGCTGCCAATCTTTTAAACACAAAAGTCAGCAGCAGGCTCAAATGCTCCCTCCCTTCGCAGTCAGCCATAATGTGCTTCACCTTTTCTATCCGCACCCAATGTCTAAACCAAGGTTCCAACTTTAATCAAAATTTGAAAGCAGGATTTGCAAATCCTGGTTAAAAAGAGGCTTGCCTTTTTACTATGGCAATGGCAGGGTAAGATATTTTGTGATGTTAATAGGAATCATTTTGAGCCAGAGAGTGATGAGTACACCCTGATTCTACTCTTCTACTGGAGAATGCCATTAGCACAGGTCACAATTCATATTAGCATTGGGATTAGTCCATCGGGCAATGTTAAAAGGAAATAATCAAGGCCACATGATATGAAATTGTCAAATATGCTAAATTAGAAAACAATCAAAATGAACCAAAGTTGCGAAAAGGTAGCCTGTACTGTATGAATCTTAGTATTCAAAGGAGGAATTATGAGCTTTATTTTGGGGCAAATTCTGAACTGTAGCAAACATGATAGGATATGGGCAGTTCCTTTCTTTCTGCAACAGCTCTATCTCACTCTTCTATCATGCAGCAAGTGGAAGCCTATACATCTGTGTATATAGGAGGGGTGAGTGCTCTGCTCTTGTGACTGAATCCTGCTTGCTGGTTTTCCACAGGTATCTGGTTAGCCACTATGAGAACAGGCTGCTGGACTAGATGGGCCCTTGGCCTGATCCAGCAGGCTCTTCTTATGTTCTAATTCAGAAGCTCCCTTGCATTCAAGTGTGCACAGGGCTGCAATCTCAGTCTTGCATTCTGCTGTTCGTGTGTGTGGGTAGATCATACAGAGTTCCACTGCACCTGCAAATACATGCAGTTTGCCTCAAATATATTCTCAGAAGAAGAAAAAATGTGCTTGCCCTATTAAGAAATCAATGCAATTCTGAGTGAGGCCGAAGGTTAAGTTTAAAGCCTTCGATCCAGTAACTATATAATAACTCAAAATGGTAAGCGTGTGATGTAGCGACTTAAAATGGTAGGCAATGTGATGTGAGCCAGATTGCAATGCCGTGGGAACCGTTCTCTCTCGTGCTGCAAGGGGGTGGGGTGGAGAGAGAGGCCGAAAAAGCTGCACCGAGTCGGCACAGTCTATTATTAACATTTCCAAACAGAGGCGTCCTCTCGCCCACGCAGTGAAGTTCTGTATAAGCGCCTTCGCAAGGACAAAAAGTATACAGGCCTCAGCCGGGCGCTTTCCTACTACCTCAAGAGTCAGGACCCAGATCCGAAAGTTGGTGGTTGCTCGGCGCTCGGGGAAGTTGGCCGGGTCAGATCTCGGAAGCGAAAGGCTGCGATCCAAGCCCACGCGGCGGCGGCCGCCCTCTCCCCACCCCACCCCCCACTCTGGAGTTGTACCTGAAGGTCCTCTGGTGAGATCGATCACTTCCTCGGAGACGAGGTAATCCACTCCCCCGTTCATGCTTTGCTCCTCAGCGGCGCTGCCTCCCGCCCGGCCGCCCCTTCTCCGCGCGTTTGAAGGTGAAACAACCGGACCAAAGCGGCGGCTGCCGCAGCAGCAGCAACAGCGGCGGCAGCACTTTCAGTTTTATCAGCCTCACGACAGGAGGAAAGGAAGGCGGCCGCTGAGGATTCTGGGACTCGTAGTCCTCAAGGGCTTTGGCAACTTGCGCGCGGGCCCTTCCCCGCCAGGCAGTCGCTTCCTCAGGTGCGGGGAGCGGGTGGAGAGACGTGTCGTTCCCGGAGTCCTGAGGGTCTCGTTCGTTTATTATTTATGGAAGTATTTATATTATGTTGTAAGCCGCCCTCTCACGAAATATAAGGGCGGTGGTATGAATAATAATCAATAATAACCATTAATAATAATTAGCAATAATTAATAATTTAGACCGCCCTCTCACAAAATATAAAGGCAGTCAGTAGCGACAATATTTTAGGCCGTACTGTTTGCAAGTAGTAAGGAGAGGGCTTCAGGTTCATCGTCTATGAGGAATTGCGCCTATTTTTCAAAAACGGGACGCCACTTCCATCATCTAAATCCCAAATGTTATACATAAAACCCAGAGCGGTCCCACAAAGACCCGCCTGCGCGCCAGGAGGGGTGGGCAGAGCAGAAGCAGCACAGGCCAGGGAGTTCGCCTCATCCATCAGCTCCTCGTCAATTTTATTCTTTTATTTTACGCATGAAACGCAGCATGCAAACTTTGGACGTCTCGGCTCCCTGGCTACTAAACCACCGCTTGGGGGAGGACTTGGACCAGCTGAGGCTTGGAGGGAGCAGGCTGACACTCTTGAGGCAGGGGAGAAATCCTGTCCTGTGGATCACAGCATGCGAGGGAGAGAAGTCTAGATCTCTCAGCTCTGAGGGAAGCGGCTTGAAGAACTTCGTGGTTCCAGGAGCCGTGACAAAAACGGCTGGAGCGACCCGAGGTCGTGACGGAGATTGTTAGAGGAACCCCTACGAGGAAAACTGATACCCTGAGCCCTCTGCCAATGGTAAACTGCAAGGATTTTGTTTTGGTTTTTTGCTGTATTCTGGAGGAATGGGAAGCTATGGTAGCTGTATGAAGATGTCACTGGTAGACTACAATCCTAGATCTATTTACATAGGAGTAAATTAAATCCAGTGTGAATTTCTTTTGAGTAGGCATATGTTATACCACTGTTAATGGTATGGTTACCTTATCACTTCTGGTTTGTTTGATTCACATTGTGAAAGAGGAAGGTAAAAGGTGTGTGTGTGTGCTGATTTTAGGTTGAAAAATCAATTGTAAACATAGTCATTAAAAATCCTTTCTTTTCTGTTACAAAGAGTTTAGCCTTCGTTTTCGCTTTTCTGTTTTGCTGAAAAAGCAAAGCCTTCTGGCACCATAAAGATGAATATATTTATTATGGCATAAACTTTCGTGGATTACTGTCCACTTCATCCAATACATGAAGTGTTACACAGTGTTATGGAGGTTACTTTTGGAAGGATTGTGAAGAGTAAGGTCAGAGTAGTCATTAGGGGATTTGGAACATGGGTCTTCAGGATGCTGATGACACTCAAATCTATGGGCAGTATTCAATTACTATGTCCAATCAGTGTAAGGATAGCTGCCTGTGTAGCATGACTTCCCCCATCCTCTCCCTGTATGGCCTCCCAAAATCTGCTCCAGAGAGTTGAGGGAACTCTAGAACAGATTGGGGCACACTGGGGGAGCGGGAGGAGACAACATTCGGTTGCTCAAGAACATTCACTAAATGCTATTCTGCATTCCACTGTTTCTCCATGGCATCTTAAATCTTGTGTTGTCATGCAGGAACTGGGCACAGTGGTACCTGGAAGCAGTGGTGGACTGGAAAAAGGTCTAGAAACAGAGCTGAACAAATTGCTTGCTTGTTAAGGATGGGGTTGTAGTCCCTTCGTAGCAATGGGTATGTAACTTGGGGGTGCACCATCTTTGTTACTGGACATCCAAGTTGCTTCAGTGACTAGGAGTGTCTTCTGCCAGCTTCAGCTGGTGTGTCTGCTATAGCTGTTCCTGGATAGCAAAACCATGCTAGTCTAGTTAATGGTTACCTCCAGATAGGGTTACTGCAATATGCTCCCTCTGGGGTTGCCCTTAAAGCTGATATAGAAGCTGCAGCTTAGTGCAGAATGTAGCAGCAAGGCTGTTGAAAGGGGTGCTCTACTAATAACATATGTATAACCAGGGGTGGTGCATCCCATTTTGCCACTTGAGGTGAAATGGTGCCGCGTTGCCCGCATTGCTGCCAGCACTGCCTCTGCTCCACCCACCTCCGCCAGCTGTGGTGCCAATATCTTAGCTCAATGAGATCTCATGAGATTTTGTCCATCGGAGTGGATGGGGTGCCTGCGGGGACAGCACCTTGGGGGCTTCAGCTGCCTGAAGCTGCTGCTTCACCCCCACCTCATGGATGGGCCAGCCATGCATATAACACCTAACTGAAAGAGCTGCACTGACTGCCAGTATGCTACTGAGTCAAGTTTAATGTCTTGCTGTTAGTATATAAAGCCTTGAACAGCTTGGCATCACGCTACTTCTAAGAATGCCTTACCACTTGTATGCTGCTGGTGGTCACTTCATTTTCAAGAGAGACACTCCTGGTAGTACTGTTTGCTCCCAAGGTTTGTCTTAGGTTCATTAATAGCAGGGCTTTTATTGATGTGGCACCTGCCCATTGCAATATGCTTCCAGTGAACATCAAGAAGATTCCTGTACTAGTGGCATTTAGGTGCCTGCTTAAAGCTTATCTTTCCCCTCAGGCTTTTCCTGAAGGTTGAACCAGCAATGTTGATGTACTAATCTGATCTATTCATTTATGATGTATTTGTTTTCTCAATGTAATTTTATTGTTGACCAAATCTCGTAGAATTGTAGAGTTGGATGGGACCACGAGGGTCATTTAGTTCAACCCCTTGTAATGCAGGAGTATTTTGCCCAACATAGAGCTCAAACCCACAGCCCTGAGATTAAGAATCCAATGCTTTACTGACTGAGCTATCTCTTTGCCAAATAATGGTGAAGAACCCTAGGTCAGTGGTAGAACATCTGCTTTGTATGCATAATGCCTCAGGTTCAATCCCTAACATTTCCAGGTAAGGCTTGGAGAGACCTCAGTCTGAAATCCTGGAGACTATCAGTCAGTGTAGACCAGGTGTAGGCAAACTTGGCCTTCCAGATGTTTTGGAACTACAACTCACATCATCCCTAGCTAACAGGACCAGTGGTCAGGGATGATGGGAGTTGTAGTCCCAAAACATCTGGAGGGCCAAGTTTGCCTGTGCCTGGTGTAGACAATACTGAGTTAGATGGACTGACTCAATACAAGGCAACTTCCTATGTTCTTATTTTATGTCATTCATTATCATGGTGTTTTTGTTTAAAAAAAAACCATTGGTGTTACAGAGAGCTTTGAAAGTGTTTATGTGTATATGTATATGCACACATATATACATATTGTGGGGGTTTTTCAGTGAGTGCAATATTTTATCTGGAGATAAATTACATCAAAGATCAGTTTAAAAATGCTAATGAAAACCTTACAGACACAAATATATGTTTTGCATATTACTCTACTTAATTTCCTTTCTCAGTTTTTGATATAGCGAGTGCATTGTTCACTTCTCTGGTCTACTGTGTGCTTACTTCCTGCATTGATTCTATTGGATGGATTCTTGAAACCAGTCTTCTTAAGTGATATAGCAGTATAGTCCTGTAAAACAAAGTCAGGCCAATAGCAGCAAAAATGACAAATGCAGTTCCTACAATAATTGCTATCACGGTACCACTCATGCCTTGGGGAGCTGGTCCACTGTCAATGCTGCCACCGTAGCCTTTATTGAGACAGTCAGGAGGAGCCCAGCCATAATCACAATGACAATGTTTGTGGTTGTTGCATTTCCCCCGATTATGGCACTTTGACACATTACAATCATACTTCAAGAGAGACATGCTCTTGCATTCCCTACTAATGCACAACATGCCAGTCCCACAAGGGGTGCCATCTCTCACTGCTGCAGTATCGATTATATCCATTCCAAAGTGGTAATCTGCACCCCAGCATTGGGTACTGCCAATTAAGGTTTGAATTATGGTGCGGTGTTCCACCAAAGAAGGAAGTGTCTGCACGTTAGCGCACTGGATTTGCCCACACAGGACATTCTCAGCATTACATTTCTTATAAGTTCCAACTCCCAGGCCACAGTTGCCAAAGCGATCACCACGAGCATTCATTACTTTGAAGCAATTGTCTGAAGCAGCTGATGCTTTCTTGCCAAATATCATTTTGCACTGCTCACTGTGAGTAGCGCATTTCCCATGATAACAGTGTACAGCACTATTGCATGGGGCACCATCTTGCATATAAACATCTTCAGGACACAATTGTGATGACCCGTTGCAGTACTCAGGAAGATCACAGTTGCTAGTTTTTGCTCTGCAAACAGTTCCAGCTGGAAGATACTGACACTTAGTGCAGCACTGTCCAAAAGCACAAGTGGCACCTGGACTCAGCCTACAATTAGATTGGCAACATGGATCTGACTTACACTTAGCTGGTGAGCCACAGTCGCATTGCTCTTCATCTTCCACTATTTCGTTGCCACAATAATTGAGATTATTTTTTTGACCAGCTGTTGGTGGAGTGAGCAAGCAGTTAGAGTTCCTTAGTTTATAATAATCGTTATAACTGCAATTGCTAAACTGATCGACTTCATCTGGAAAAGCAGCCATAATGCAGGATTTTCGTTCACAAGTACAGTATGTTCCATCATGTTGCATGCCAAGATTATGTCCTAATTCATGGGCAAAAAGCACAGCAAAAAAGGACACACTGTAACCCACATAAGATTCAACACCAGATGCCCAGTGAGAGCTACAAATTGTTGCTGTGAATGCTAATCCAGCTGTCTGTCCATACAGCTTATGTACAAATAAGTGACCGGCATCATTAGGTAAATGTTTATTTAGTGTGTTTTTTCTCCAAGTATTGAAAGTTTCAAGTAATTGTGAAATTTTATCAGCAATTGCTATGAGGTTCTTTTCTGACCATATTTCCAAGCCAGCTACAGACAAAACAACACCAAGAGGCTTAAAGAATGCATTGGCAGTATGGACTATCTCTAGAACATGTGCACTGGTCAAAGTTTGATTTCTCCCAAGCTGTATATATAGTTTTTGTTCCACCACAATTGCAACTTCTACATACCTGGAGTCTGTCCACCAGTCATTTTCAGAACGTTTGGCTGGTAAATGCTCTCTCTCCGGGATCATGGCCTCTTGACGACGTTGTTCTTCCTCTGTTAGCCCACACCTCATACGGATAGTATCCTCCTTTTCTTCCAACCTATATACCATGTGCTGAGAAGTAGTAGATCCCTGAATAGGCTCAATTTCATAGGTGTAATTTTCTAAGTGCAGCAGACCCCTGAGGCCCCCTGAACAAGTGCTGAGGGTAACCCAAGAGGAAGGCTTGCCTTGGACAAAGCCACGGTAGAAGCAGTCATCTCTGATGAAAGGATAGTCCGTCTGGAGGTCCCCTTCCTTACTGTAAGTGAAGACAGGGAAATGTTTAGGGACAAAGCCCCTCTTTTGCTTGAGATGAATCACATGCTCTTTTCCCTCAATTTGCAATAGGTAGGTGACATCATGGGGATTTTGTTCTCCATATCTATGGGTCAATTTCTTTGGGATGGTCACCTCATAAGAGGCATATCTAAAACCCTGTGGTGGTTTCTGATCTGCATTCCCACTCACAACATTGAATGAAATCAGCACTAGCAGCCACACATGGTGGCTAGTCATTTTCCCTGACAGTGGAAAGCAACCTCCAGAATACCCTGCTCTAGCTTTCTATCCCAGCCCCAAAAGCCTCCCACAACTCAGCTGAGAGCAGACCAGAAAGAAGATGAGAAGGTGGTTGTATGTGAGCTAGACAAGGAAAGGGAGGATTCTGACCCTGGCAACAGTCACTGCAGTTACCTTTAGAATGTAGGCGGAGCCTGGAGAATCAGAGAAATAATAGAATGGAGAATAGGGAAGCACATGGTGGAAAGGGAAAGGTGTAATAGAGATAGCTGGGTTAAAGGGTTATGAGAAGAAGAGGCAAGTGCAATGGGAAGTTGAGAAGCAGGGGACCAAGAAATGGGAGATAGTTCAATATGTTGACAGTGTAATAATAGACACGTATGGCATGCAGGATTTGGGGTAGGTGCAAAACATCCATTTGATGAAGGGACCTTCTTTGGAATTTTACTAATATTCTGAGAGTAAACTGGAGGATGTGGGATATGCGGATATAACCCATGGGTTAGTACCTAGGTTCCCCCCCTTTTGTATTTAGATCTTGGTCAAGTTCTCACCCAGGAAAACCTGGGACCTTAGGAGTTAAAAGACCCCTTTTTAGTGTAAGTGAAGACTGGTACATTTTTAGGGACAAGGCCCCTCTTTTGCCTGAGCTTCAGCACGTGGCTCTTTCCCTCAAACTGAGCAGCAAGGTAATGTCTCGGGATTCTTGTTTTCCACATCTGGAGGTCAGTTTCATTGGGATGATCACATTGTAAGAGCTATGCCTAAAGTCCTGAGGCAATGTCTGACCATTGGACTCACTGAGTCTCCTCCATAGGATCATTGTCAACGCTTTGTCTGATTGGAAAAAGTCCTCTAGAGCACCCCACTCTGGGGCAGAATGAGCAGCGGATGAGGAAATATATTCTGTTCCTTGCAAGGAGTTAGTAGCTTTACAATTGGAATGTAGGTGGAGCTTGGTAAAGGACAGAGCAGAATGGTGAAAGAGTAGGTTATAGTTTGAATGTGCATGGAGCTTGGTCAGTGATGGATAGAACAAAATGGAGGAAAATGGCAAAGGAAAGGGAAAGGTGCCTGAAGATGATTGGCTGAAAGCATTTCAGGAAGAAGAATTAGGTGTGATAGGAACATGAGATGCAACAGATAAAAAAACCAGAGAAACTGACAATGGAGTAACAGAGATGTGTGGTAGGCATTTACAGAAAGACACTGTAGCCACATTACTAAACATTCTGGGAGTACACATTGTTTTCTTGGTACATGATTTGAAGGAATCATGTAGCACATAAACAGGAGCAACCTCTACCAGCAGAATATGGGATGTGAGGAGCAGCAGGTTGTAATGAGTATACAGCAGAAGTGATACTGGGTGCAAGTTGCTGCAGCTCAGCCTCCCCCAGACTTTAAAATGTATATGTATTTATTTATGACTAGAAAAACCTATCAAAAAATAATTCCTTTTTTAAAAAAAGACAGTCTTCAGATAGGATCAAACATTTGGGCCAGTAGGCAAAATCTTTGTATTAATAGACCATTCATCTTATTGCTTTGTCGAATACAACCCTTGTTGAACGTACAGGCTAGCCTGGTCAATTGGTTGTGGTCAAAGTTGAGTTGGCAGGGAGCCAGTCAACTGAGCTTCCCATCTCTTGTGGTTGGGGAGGGGCATTGGGCATGATCCATAGTCAAATAAGAGGACCTCTGGGGGCTTAGGCAGGCCACTGTGCATCCAAGTTTCATGTGAGATAGCCTACAAGTACAGCCCACGCTAGTGTGGGTAGTCTGCTAATTGAGCACAAAGATTCTGCATGCCAGTGAAAGCTGGGTTTGTGTTAGGAGGGAATAAGTTAATAACAATTATATGTGACGCATTCTGAAGTGTGGGGGATTTTAAGTGGAAATCCAAACTAAACTGCTTGTCAAAAGCTAAATGACTTAAATTGCTCTCTCAGACCTCCTCCTAGACCGAATTAAGTACCCAGTTGCCTTTCAAAGAAATCAAACATACGTTGTACATGACCCAGATTAAATCACTGACTACTGTATTTTATGCTCTCACCCACCCTCAGCTACAAGCAATCAGATGACATACACATACATCAGCAATCAGTTGAAATGTTTTGTTGTGGAACTCCACTTGTTATCTCTTATTGATAAACACAAGATTTCCATATACTGATGTGACAGGAATACAAATTACCGTATATCCAAATGCAATTCTTAAGAACTGATGAAAGACTTGCAAAGTCAAATATATCTGCATATTTCCCTTTCACACTTTTTATATATTCTGTCATTGTTCAGTTCAGTAATCTGCTGTGCACTTGCTTCCTGATTGTGTTCAGTTGGATGAGTTCTTGCCCTGTCTTCTCCAGCATTGCATCAGTCCATATCTCAAATAAACACACAGGCAAACATAGTGATGTTAAATTCTAGAGAATAATATTTTGAAGAATATTCTCAATTAATGAGAATATTAGAGAATTTCCATTTAAAATAGGAGAATATTCATTTTAATGCATTGGAAATGATATTAGTTAATATACATATTTATTTATGGGTAAACTTGTTCAGATGGCAAACAAAAACTGTACAGATACTTTTATTTAATGGGGCAATGCGGTGAATTCATATTCTTTGATAAATAAAAATATAGAAATGTCAACTGTTTAAATCAAGGCCACTTCACATGCTGTTACACATAATTGTATAGGTACTTTAAGTGTATAAAGCATTAAAGCTACTTTATGTAAAAAACAAAACAAAACACTGTATGACCAAGGGTATAGAATTGCTAAGAATAAGGTCACACCAAAATAGAAAAAAGGCTATTACATATACAGTGGTACCTCTGGTTAAGTACTTAATTCATTCTGGAGGTCCGTACTTAACCTGAAACTGTTCTTAACCTGAAGCACCACTTTAGCTAATGGGGCCTCCTGCTGCCGCTGCGCCGCCAGAGCACAATTTCTGTTCTCATCCTGAAGCAAAGTTCTTAACCTGAAGCACTATTTCTGGGTTAGTGGAGTCTGTAACCTGAAGCGTATGTAACCCGAGGTACCACTGTAGTTGAAATACATACGAATTCAAATGTTCATGAAATTAAATGAATAGCATTTTTAAAACTAAAACTAAAAATAAAAATTCTGTAGCTCACATTTCAGAACTGCCAATGATGAGTGACACAATGCCCAGTAATGTAACTCATTTTTCATTACTTACACTGGCAATATCACAGCTTGACTTATTATTTACTAGATTTTTTTAATGTGGGTTGTAAAACTGGTTCTTACATTTGAATTTACAGTTTGTGGAGAATATTCTCTGGATAATTTTCTAGCAGAGAATATTCTCAAGAATATTCTCATTCTCAAGAATATTCTCACCTCACATCACTGGGCACACACCAGCTATAGCACTAATAACAAATTCAATTCCTTCAGCAGTTCCTGCAATGACAGTGTCCTGGTTTGGTGGAGGAGGGCCACTGTCAATGCTCCAACAATAGCCTTCATCTACACATGAATGGCATATTCTAGCATTCCCCTTAATATACATCATGCTCTTGCCACAAGGAGTCCTATCTCTCACTGCTCCAATATCAGGTTTAGACAGTCAGGAGGAGCCCAGCCAGAAACACAATGACAATATTGGTAGTTGTTGCATATTCCCCTATAATGGCACTTTGTGACATTACAATCATATTTCAAGAGGGACCACCCTCTTGCACTCGACATTAATACACATCATGTTCTTGCCACAAGGAGTCCCATCTCTCACTGCTCCAATATCAGGTATACCCTTCCACTGTGGTAGTCTGTTCCCCAGCAGTTCTCATTGCCAATAAGTGTATTAACTATGGTGCCACATTCTGCATGATATGGTCCATTATTTCATGCACATCTGTTTGGCACATTCAATGCATTGTTCAATTCTGTGATTTAGTCTGGACTTTCTTCTTTTTTAATATCTTGCTCATGCTTTCTTTCTCTCAATCTGACAAACATTTCTCTCAAGTGCTTCCTGAAATAAATACCCAGAACAACAAGAACACAAAAAACAAATATAATTACTCCTATAATTGCTGCTGTGCTGGAATTAGGGCTAAAAATATTCTGTGGTGGAGGGGGTCCACTATCAATGCTGCCACCATAGCCTTCACTGAGACAATCTGGAGGAGCCCAGCCATAATCACAATGACAATGTTTGTAAGTGTTGCATATACCCCTATAGTGGCACTTTTTGAAATGACAATCATAGTTCAAGAGGGATACACTCTTGCACTGCCTATTAATGCAAATCATATCAGTGCCACAAGGAGTCCCATCTCTCACTGCTCCAATATCGAGTATTTGTATCCCACTGTGGTAGTCAGTACCCCAGCATTGTCTATCTCCAGATTGTGTTTGAATTATAGTGTTATGCTCCTCTAAAGAAGGTAATTCGTCAATATTATCACATTGGATTCGACCACACAGGAGATTCGTAGCATTACATTTCTTATAAATTCCATGTCTAAGGCCGCAGTTGCCAAAGCGATCCCCTCGACCATTCAGTTCACTGAAGCAAGCCTTTGAAGCAGCTGTTGCTTTCTTGCCAAAGATCATTTTGCACTGCTCACTGTGAGTTGTGCAATTTCCATGATAGCAGTATACACCATCACTACACGGGGTGCCATCTTGTACATAAACATCTTTAGGACACCACTCTGAAGTCCCATTGCAGTACTCAGGAAGATCACAGCTGCTAACCTCTTGTCTGCAGACATAATGAGCTGGAAGATACTGACACTCAGCACAACACCGTCCAAAAGCACAAGTGGCACCTGGGCGCAGCATGCAATTAGACTGGCAACATGGATCCAACTTGCATTGATCTGGTGAACCACAGTCACATTGCTCTCCATCTTCCACTACTTTGTTACCACAGTGTTTGAGTTTATACATTTTATCAGGCTCTGGTGGGATTAACAAACATGGAGTGTTCCTTAGCTCAAAATAATTCTGATAACTGCAGTTGCTAAACTTATCAGTGTTTGCCTGAGCTGCAGCCATAATGCAGGCATGTCGTTCACAAGTACAGTATTTTGAATCATGTTGCATGCCAAGATTATGTCCTAATTCATGAGTAAATGTATTAGAAAAATCAGACAAACTATAACCAACATATGATTCAACACCACATGCCCGATCAGTCCAACAGATTGTTCCTAAATATGATAATCCTCGCGTACGTCCAAAGCCCTTATATACAAATAAATGAGCAGCATCATTCTCTAGATGTTTATTTAGGGTGTTTGTTCTCCAGTCATTGAAATTGGAAAGCAGGGTGTAAATGTTGTTATCAATCACAATGAGGTTCTTTTCTGACCAAATCTCCAATCCAACAAGAGTCACAACGACACCAAGTGGCTCATATAATGAATTAGCAACATGAATGACATCTAGAACTCGCATAGCAGCAACAGTTTCATTTCTATCAATTCTCACATATCTTTCGTAATCCACTACAACTGCAACCTCTGCGTAACGGGTGTGTGTCCACCAACCTCCTTCTGGAGCACCCCTAGCCACTATATTCTCTGTTTTTTGGATCATGGTCTCTTGATGCCTTTGCTCTTCTTCTGTTAACCCACACGTCATACGTGCAGCACCCTCTATTTCTTCCAACCTATACATCACATGTTGAGAAGTAGATCTCTGCACAGGCTGAATTTCATAGGTGTCATTTTCTAAATGCAGCAGACCCCTGAGGCCCCCTGAACAAGTGCTGAGGGTGACCCATGAGGAAGGCTTGTCTTGTACAAAGCCACGGTAGAAGCAGTCATCTCTGATGAAAGGATAGTCCACCTGAAGGTCTCCCTCCTTACTGTAAGTGAAGACAGGGAGGTGTTTAGGGACAAAGCCCCTGTTCTGCTTGAGATGAACTACATGGCCTTTCCCCTCAATCTGCAGTAGGTAGGTGACATCATGATGTTCTTGTCCATACCTAGGGACTAGTTTTCTTGGGATGGTCACCTCGTAAGAGGCATACATAAAGCCTTGTGGTGGTTTCTGACCTGCAGTCTCACCCAAAATATTCAACAGGATCAGCACCAGTTGCCATGTGTGGTGGTTAGTCATTTTCTCTGACTGGGAAAGCAACCTCCAGAGCATCCTCCTTTGACTTATTATCCCAGCCCCAAAAGCTTCCCACAGTTGAGAGCAGACCAGAAAGATGAGAAGGTGGTTGTTTATGAGACCATCAAAGAAAGGGATGGTTCTGTCCATAGCAACAGTCATTGCAGTTACCTTTAGAATGTAGGTGGAGCTTGGAGAATCAGAGGAATAGAATGAAGAATGGGGAAGCACATGGTGGAAAGGGAAAGACGTTGCAGAGATGGCTGGGTGAAAGGGACACAGGAAGAAATGGGTGCTCACTCTTTTCAGGTGGGCAGCAGTTGCAGCCCCTCGCTCTCTGCTGCCATCCTGGCTGTCAACTCATGCATGTTTGTCAACTGTTTTGGGAATTCCCCCAGCCAGCATGTTCTCTTCTTAACCCCAGCTTCAAAGGGGCCAATCAGAGGCCCCACCAGTTGGGCAGTGCCTTGCTGGCTAGCCAAACATTGGCTTCTGCCATGCCTGCACCAGGCAGCAACACCTTAAAAGAGCTCTCTGCACTTGCCTTTTGCAGCATTGTCGGCCAAAGAGCAATCTTACCCTTCCTCCCTTATATTTAATTGTTTTTTACATATGTAGGTCAATGTCCTATAATGTTTAACCATATTTCACTTTTCAGGTTGCTGCTTTAACCCTGCTTTATTCCTTAGGTTGTATTCTGTCTGATTTTGATTCCTTATGCCTTCCTTGCTATGGTTGCTAGGCGGGAAGGAATTTGCCTGCAGATGAACTGGACCATCTTGAGGTTTTGCCTTCCCCACAGCAAAACATCACAACTTTTAGTGATTAAAGCACTGGGTGGAATCCAAGTCTTCAGGTTTTGGGTAAAGTGGTGTATCACCCTGTCCTGACCCAGGAACATATTCCGGGTTACCCATTAGACAGATCTTGGTGGATGTATCTGTCCAGAAGCCAAGAATGAGACTGATGGGCCATAGAGCTTTCAGCGGTGACCCTAGATCAGCAACTTGGTGAGGCCATAATCTTTGGCACTACCCTGAAAATGTTCCAGCACCTCTGGCAGAAGGCTTCCCAGAGTGGTTGGGGCAACCTAGTCCAAACGGGCAGGGTACAAATAATAAATTATTATTTTTATTATTATTTATTATAAGGCTGGAATGGATATACACCCAATGCCTGAGCCAAAATTCCACCTATACCTGTGATCAATAAAGTTGTGGCCATTTTTAATCCAAACCACTGTCTGTGCACGTTTGGTCTATTACATCTCAATTTGGTCACATGCTGGGAGGGGAGGCATTGCGCCTGGGACTGCAAATTAAGTGCAATGGGAAGTTGAGAAGCAAAGGACCAAGAAATGGAAGAGAGTCCAATAAACTGACAGTAGAAACATAGACATGTAGGGCATGCAGGATTTGGGGTATGCACATAGCATGTATTTGATGGGGACCTCCATTTTCACTATTTACTAACATTCTGAAAGTAGATGGGAATATGCAGATATAACCCTTATGTCAGTAACTAGGAATTATTTTCCTATTGTATTTAGAACTAGGTCAAACCCTCATTCCGTAAAACCTAGAATCCCACAAAAGATGTTTGAATAGCAGTTCTTCCATCTCCACTTACCTGAAGTAAGGCCCAAATGACCATATTTATTCAGCTTAGCAAACCACATTAACAAGAGACTGGTAAAATAGACAAAACCATAAAGTTATCCCAAAGTTCAAAACTGCCCACCTCCTCCCAAGGTTTCAGTGTAATCCTTTGACTTTGTTTGTTCATGGTTGATTCAAGGATGCAGTCATGATGTGGGGTCCATTGTAATTTGCAAGAAGATGCATAAACTTGATAGTGTTGTAATATAATATCTCCAGTATGTTAATCTGGGTGCATTGCAAATACTTTAGGCAATCAGTGACGGGTGCAGATTTGTATTCCAACCAGCAAGCAGCAGCAAATCATTCCTGTAGCAACTTCTGGTCTTTGTACCATCAGCCAATTGTAAATGCAGGTGGGATCCCAGATGTCGATGTGACTCAAACACGTTCCTTCTTGGTAGAGATTTCAGCCAGGAAGAAAGTGCCCACTTATAGTGATCTTGGCTGATAGTACTTACAGCACAGGTCTTTACTGCAGGAGTTAGCAGATCTCCAAGCTCTCGGCACATCAATAGTACATCTAACAGCAAGCAACAAATCTTCATTTCACAAAGGAAGACCATTTTAATCTTCGGCAGAATTTAACCCTTGCACTGCCGGGGGCACTTGTGCTTAGGGTGAAATGAGCTCTTTTAAAACTTATTGAGGGTTACTGGAGAGGAGGCAAAAGTGTCCCAAGCACTCATTTGTTGCTGAACATATATCAACAGTTAAAGTTAAGCATATGTTACAGCTCCACCAAACATGCAAATCAGCCTCCTTCACAGGGATGCATCTTGGGTTTCTTGCAATAAGAGTGTGGTACCAGACTTAACCATTTGGCAGCATCTGTTTCTCTGTACACACAGGCGTAGGCTCTTTCAGGAAGATGTGGGTTGCAAGGCACAGTAGTGGAAGTAATAACTATTGAAGTAATAACAAATTTAGGTTGCTATAGCTAATATTTGACAACTGGATTTATCAGTTTAGTGCTTTCAAATGTTTATTTGTCTATTATTTATATAAACATGTCTCTGAACAACAAACACTACAGATAAAATCACAGATTTTTTTTTAAATGTGCAGTCACCAGATCAAACAGGATAAACAATAAAAGACAGTGAGGAGGAGATACCCTTGCCCAGAAATAGCCACAGCAGTGTGTGACCCAAGTAATATCTCACAATCAAAAAAACACCCTTAAAAAATTCACTAAACAGATCTTTGCAAACTGCCTGGAGTGTATAATAATTATACATTGTGAAGTTTCTCATACCGCCACCTTTGCCATATGCCTTGCCTATACTGCAGTGCTCCAACATTATTCCTCTTCGACAGTGGGAAGCAACAGCATCCACACAGAGGAGACACTCTCATCCCCATAGGCAGGTAAGCTTTGTGTTGGTTGAAGCCAGGCACTCCACTCTATAAATATTGCCATTGCTAGCCTTACAGGAGCAACCCTCAAGGGCAGGAGGGAATAGCAGGGAGATGTGAGGGAGGGAGAAATGGGGGTGGGTGGGTAAATTAAGCCTGTTAGGATGCCAGCCATGAGGGTTGCCTGTTGGACAAAATAGCAGGGGAAGGTTGGTCATATGGTTTGCTGAGAGAAGGTGGGTCAACAGGACTCTTTGGTACATGCATGACTATTGGTTCATGCAGTACTTCTCCTGGTTTGCTTAAGTGTACCTGAATTCAGGGCGAGCCTCCACCCTTTACTACCCACCTGTCAAAATGGCCCACATGGGGGAGCTCAACATCTGACCCACTGATTATCATCACCTGTTCCCAACACAAGCAGTTCTACAAATAAGGCCTCCTCTTCCTCCAGCCCCTGAGTTTCCTGGCATCTATGATTGGGGCGCAGGAGTGAGAGAGGCAAATGGTCGATGATGTGTCAGATCGTTAAGTACTTATGGAATTCCCTGTTGTATTTGCAGTCTGCGTTTGAGGACTCTCTTTTCCTCCTGACTCAATCTTTTCTCTTCTTTTTTTGCAAGGCATGAAAAAGATGAGGTCATTTTCTTCCTGGTGCAGCTCAAAATTCCATATTCTGCTTCCCAACCCCATGCTCTATGGCAAGAATGGGGAACCTCCAGTTGTTGCTGGACTACAAATCCCAAAATCTTTAACTGGGGGTTGATCATCCAACACTATCTGGACGGTGTCTCGTTCCCCATCACTGCCATATGGAGTGAGCCACTGGAGCAGGAATGCTGTCAGTTTGTGTTTGTGGCTGCCTTTATTGCATGGTCTGTCTCCTCCCTTTCACTGCTCATCTTTCCCTTCAATGTGTGTGGCTGAAGGTTTAGCACCTCCCGTCAGAACCACATCTTGATCCCTTATTCCATTGTTCCAGAGGGCTGTGTGAGCGACTAAAATACCTGCCTGTAAGACTTACAGTAGTTGGGTCATTGCTGGCTCCAGCGTTGATAGATCGGGGGATGCTATAGCATCATCTTATGTGTGTTATGATGCACAACGTTTATTGGGAAGAGGCATTCGCATAGCAGCAGTGCTTATGAAGGTTTCTGTGGGGAAATAATGATATTGGGAAATGTGGCTTTTGCTCAGTGTGCAGTTATCCATTCCAGAAAACAGATGTTTCCCTTGGTATTTAGTGGAACAACATTTCAGAGGATTAGAGGATAGATAGCCTTGATAAAAAGCAGGTTTCTTACCTGTTGATGAGTCCAAGATTTTCATAAACTGATTTGCTAAGGAGAGTAACTCCACAAAAGGTAGTGAAATAATAATACTCAAAAGCTTTCAGACTCAAAGTTACATTTTTGTAAAATACTGCCTATTATTTTCTTTGTATAATTTTATGCAATGTGCATTGTTGACTTCCATGATTTATTGTGGGTTTTACTCCTGTTTAGATTCAGTTTGAAGGAATCTTGAACTCAGTCTTTTAAATTAGTTTCTCAGTCCATTTCCCTTAAACCAACACCAACAGAAGGAAAAGGATAGATACAATTCCTATAAAAATCCCTACTTTGTAGCCAATCCTGCGTGGTGGAGGGGGGCCACTGTCAATACTGCCACCATAGCCTTCATTGAGACAATCTGGAGGAGCCCAGCCATAATCACAATGACAATGTTTGTAAGTGTTGCATCTTCCCCGATTATGGCATTTTGTCACATTACAATCATATTTCAAGAGGGACACACTCTTGCACTCCCCATTAATACACATCATCCTCTTGCCACAAGGAGTCCCATCTCTCACTGCTCCAATATCAGGTATCTCCATTCCAATGTGGTAGTCCGTACCCCAGCATTTCCTATTGCCAATGGGTATTTGAAATATTGTGCTGTGTTGTTTCAAAGAAGGTAACTTAGTAATGTTATCACACTGAATTCGACCACACAAGCTATTGGTAGCATTACATTTCTTATAAGTGCCATGTCTAAGGCCACAGTTGCCAAAGCGATCACCTCGGGCATTCATCTCTTTGAAGCAAACCTCTGAAGCAGCTGTTGCTTTCTTGCCAAATATCATTCTGCACTGTCTGTTATGGGTTGTGCAATTCCCATGGTAACAGTATGCACCATCCCCGCATGGAGCACCATCTTGTACATACACATCTTCAGGACACCATTCTGAAGTCCCATTGCAGTATTCAGGAAGATCACAGCGGCCAACATTCTGTCTGCAAACAGAATGAACTGGACGATACTGACACTTAGCACAGCAAAGTCCAAAAGCACAAGTAGCAGCAGAACGCAGCATACAATTAGATCGGCAACATGGATCAGACTTACATTCACGTTTTGAACCACAGTCACATTGTTCTCCATTTTCCACTACTTTGTTGCCACAAGATGTGATTTTCTGCATTCTATAAGGGTCTGGTGGAATTAACAAGCAATGAGAGTTCCTTATTTTGTAATAATCTTTATAACTGCAATTACTAAATTTATCAGCGTTAGCTTGATCTGCAGCCATAATGCAGGCATGTCGATCACAAGTACAGTATCTTCCATCATGTTGCATGCCAAGATTATGTCCTAATTCATGGGCAAATGTATTAGAAATATGGAACAAACTGGAAGTCATATAGGATTCAACACCAGATGCCCAAAGGGTACTACAAACTGTGCCAATGTATGCTAATCCAAGTGTACTTCCAAAACTCTTATATACAAATAAGTGAGCAGCATCATTCTTTATATGTTTAACTAGTGAGGCTGTTCTCCAACGTGAGAAACTCCTAAGTGTGTCATTTATACTGTTAGTAACTTGAATGAGGTTCCTTTCTGACCATATCTCCAGTGCAGATATAGACAATTCAACAGAAAATGGCTCATATAGTGCATTGGCAGTGTGGAGGACATCCAGAACTTGCATAACAATACGACTTTCATTTCTGCCAAACTTGACATATCGTTCATGTTCTACCACAATTGCAACCTCCACATACCTAGTGTGTCCCCACCAGCCTTCACCAGCAGCACTGTGGGTCAATATATTCCTTGTGGTTTGCATCATGGCCAGCTGATGGCTTTGCTCTTCTTCTGTTAACCCACACCTCATGCGGATAGCCCCATCCTTTTCTTCCAGCCTATACACCACATGTTGAGAAGCAGAAGATACCTGAACAGGTTCAATTTCATAGGTGTTATTTTCAAAGTGCAGCACACCCCTCAGCCACCCTGAACAAGTGCTGAGGGTAACCCAAGAGGAAGGCTTGCCTTGTACAAAGCCATGGTAGAAGCAGTCATCTCTGATGAAAGGATAGTCCATCTGGGGGTCCCCCTCCTTACTGTAAGTGATGACAGGGAGTTGTTTAGGGACAATACCCCTCTTTTGCTTCAGCTGCACCACATGACCCTGCCCCTCAATCTGCAGCAGGTAGGTGACATCACTGGGTTCTTGTTGTCCATAACCATATGTCAGTTTTCTAGGAGTGGTCACTTCATAAGAGGCATACCTATAACCCTTCGGTGGTGTCTGACCTGCAGCCTCAACCAGGGCATTCCGTAGTATCAGTATTAACAAGCTGGCAGAATTGCTGATCATTTCCACCAAGAGACAAAAATTTCTGCTAAATTACTCTACTCCAGCTTCTTATACAGGGCAAGGAAGCCCTCTGTAGCTGCAGGTGGGCCTGTAGCAAGACTGGAAGGAGACTGCATGTGGGATAAAGAAGGAGGATGATTCTGACCATAGCAACAGTGAGTAGAATCACTTTTTGGAATGTGGGCGGAGTTTGAAGTATCCATGATGGAACAGAATGGGAAAATAACAACAGAGGGTGTCTAGCAATGGTGGGAAATACTTTCTGGCTGGGAGACCACATTGGCCTGCCAATGGGGAGATATCAAATTTGACAGGTGAGTAGGGCTGCCCACCCATCAGTCACCTGGCATTATAGTGACATCGGGGGATGCTGCTGTGCTTTGAAGCCCTGAGTTGAAGGACTTTAAAGTGTGTGGCTGTTTGAAAGCCCTTTGCAAGCAGCCTCATGTTGCTGCATTAAACCTCTGGAATTTGGATGTTTAAAGCAGAAGTGCAAGGCTGTTTGCTAAGGGCTTTGAAACAGCCCCATGCTGCTCTTTGAACCTCTGGTTTTCCAAAATTCAAACAGCAGTGCAGAGGTGTTTGAATGTCTGGTTGTTATGTACATTAACCACTAAATTTACATTATCCCTGACATATACACAAAAAAAGGCACGAAAAGAATGGCAAGAAAATGACAAATTTCTTATGGGCAGGGGGAAATTCCAGATAAGTATCTTTAGGAAATACGTAGGTTTGAGTATCCTTTACTCTGCAATATTATTGTGTAAATACTTTTGTGAATTACAAGTTGGTTTACGAGAGATGATTTAAATATTTATGTTTATACTGCAATAACAAAAACAAATTGACAGATTTCTAAAATACATTGGGGAAAATTTTGGTACATTATTGCACCCCAAAGCAACCATTCATGTTTTGTGAGATAGACACATGATGGGGCTGAGACTCACAGAGCTTTCATCCAAAATTTTCTAGAGAGAACTCTGTGAGATCCCTTCCTTTGTTTGCCTTAGCAGGAAGCTGTAGCACTATATACGTCCTTGCTGCCTAGGCATCTCTCTTTCTTCATTATGCCTCCAAGCTGACCACACATGCATGTCTGAGCTCTGCAGCTGACACACCATTTTGAAAATATTATTATTATTATTATTATTATTATTATTATTATTATTACACTGCCCATCTGACTAGGTTTCCCCAGCCACACTGGGTAGCTTTCAGCAAAATATAAAAACACCATAAAACATCAAACACTAAAAGCTTTCCTATAGAGGGCTGCCTTTAGATGTCTTTTAAAAGTCAGATAGCTGTTTATCTGTTTGACATCTGATTGGAGGGCATGGCATAGGGTGGGCGCCACTACCAAGAAGACCCTCTGACTGGGTTCCTATAGCTTCACTTCTTGCAGTGAGGGAACTGCCAGAAGGTCCTCGGAACTGGACCTATGTGTCCAAGCTGAACGTTGGGGGTGGAAATGCTCCTTCAGATGTACAGGGCTAAGGCCATTTAGGGTTTTGAAGGTCAGCACCAACACTTTGATTTGTGCTCGGAAATGTACTGGGAGCCAATGTAGACAGTTTAGGACTGGTGTTATGTGGTCCTGGCAGCTATTCCCAGTCACCAGTCTAGCTGACACATTATGGATTAGTTGTAGTTTCTGAGTCGGCTTCAATGGTAGCCCCACATAGAGCACCACAGGAGCCAACTCCTAGGGGCTGATGTCCCTACCCCCCCCCAGTAAAATATTTGAGCGGGCTGGGACCCACCAAAGTTGATGGACATTGCCATTCAATTGGTGTGTGGGTGTGGGTGTATGCCGCATCATGTGATAAATTATGTGGGGCGTAGCTTACCTGCCCCCCCCAATATTTTATTCAATTTGGCACCCCTGTAGAGCATATTGCAGTAATCCAAGTGGGAGATAATCAGAGCATGCACCACTCTGGCAAGGCAGAGTTACTTTTGTAAGTTAGATAATACAGTGGCACCTTGGTTTTTGAGCATCTCGGAAGCCGAACGTTTTGGTTTTTGAACGCCAAAAATCTGGAAGTAATTGCTTCCGTTTTCGAATGCGCCTCAGAAGTAGAACAGCTTCTACTGCGTGTTTTTCAATTTTTCCAATTGAACTTGCAGCCAGCCCTTTGTGCCTCGGTTTTCAAACATTTCGGAAGTCGAACGGTCTTCCGGAATGGATTACGTTTGAGAACCAAGGTACCACTGTAGTTATAAATCTGCCTTCATTTTGCTGCTGTAACTACTTCAAGACCTAGATTATGTAAGTAAATATTACTTTTACTTCTTCACAAAACTGTGTGTGTGTGTTTGTTACTTTAAAGGGGGTGAAAAGAGGTAATACTAGGGAAGGTGCAGACTGCCTTAAAACATCCCAGATCATTGTTTCTAGAAGGTTAAATTGACCTTATCTTACCAAATTTAAAGCTGCAAAGGGTGGTGGTGTTCTGCTGACCTCACTCAAGGGAGGATAAATACAGTAATATCTCCTGTCATAGTGCCTAAATCCATTCCTACAGAAAATTAAAGCTTTCTTCCTGATTTTGGAAAGACTTTTGGCATTATCAGCGCTATGCTCTAACCAACTAAGCTATTCAGCATTGCATCTTCCTTGTGCCATCTGACAGAGCTTTTACTAGAAGTGTGGAGCCTTTTATAGTTCAGCCTGAAGGAGGTGGCAAGAACTGACAGCAACTCACTGTGAATTGTTTGCAAAGCATTTTGATGATAAAATTGTTTGCACCTACCAAGATATTGACTCTGCTGTTACAGCATATGAACCTCAATGGGTGTGCAGAGCACTGTCTAGTCCTGTTGTGTTGGATGAGTTTCAGTTAGTAAGGCTTGAGGAAGTGGACAACTTGCTTGGATTGGTTAAGATAACCACTTGCACTCTGAGGCCTCGCCCCTCTTGGCTGATAAAAACTAGCAGGAAGGTGACAACTGAATACCCCTTTTGGACTTTTGTGTGGAAATGATTTAGTATTGAAGATTGGGAAAACACTGTCCGGCATACTAAGGAACAGCTGGATATTATCCTGCAATACAGCTGGATACCATCCTGGAGTGAATACTCTGAATAATCTTTATATTCATAATTGACAGATGGCGAATCAGAAGTCCTTTTTATTTTTCTCTTTTCTCTCTTTCTATTTTTTATGATCTTTATTTCTGTTATTTCTTTTCTGTCCACTTCACTCTTGCTTGTTTTGTTTTGTGACATCTTCTCTGGGTTAATGAGGGTTTGCACAGGAAGGTGACAGATGAATGGTGAAGGACTCTGTGTGAGAGGCAGGGAAGAGAAGATCTCCCAGAGTGGGAGGCTGGGAGAAGAAAGGGAAGCCCCCAGGTGAGAGCTGGGAAGGTCCACCTTTTTTGTGTGAGACAAGGGTAAAGATCTACCTTTGGTAGAGGGCTTTTTATTCCTCCTTTCTCTTTCTCTTTTCTTTTTCATTGTTTTCTTTTTTATTTAGTTTATATTTTATTGTATTGTATGCCGAAAGGTTTCAATAAAAAAGATAGAGAAAAAAGACTGAGGCACTGTTAGTAGGTGGTTCCCTAGACCAGATGGATGGGGGATCGCCTGCTCTTGATGGGATTATACTCCCTCTGAAGGTGCAGGTACGTAGCTTGGGGGTACCTCTGGATCCTTTGCTGTCACTTGAGGCTCAGGTGGCCTTGGTGGCATGAAGTGCCTTCCATCAGTTTCAGCTGGTGGCCCAGCTATGCCCTTATCTGGACAGGTATAGCCTCACTTCTGTAGTCTATGCCTTGGTAACCTCTATGTTAGTTTAATATAATGAAATGCTTAAATATTCAAATATATATCTACATAACACAGTCTGTTGCTTCCTCTGTATCTGGCAAGTTGTCCATTGCTCTTTTCTGTGATTTGCTCCAGAATCCAGACTTATTAATTGTGCTGATGGACTCTTCCACTTAAATGTGAAAACCTCTATCTCAGTCTTTTCCGGAAATAAATACCTAGGCCAACACCAACAACAGTAGCAGAAATGACTAATCCAAGTACATCTGTAGTTCCTGCTCTGCTGGCACTACGATTCCAAATGTACCCTCATGGAGCGGGCCCACTGTCAATGCTGCCACCGAGACCTTTGTTTAGACAGTCAGGAGGGGTCCAGCCAGAAACACAATGACAATGATGGTAGTTGTTGCATATTCCCCTATAATGTCACTTTGTGACATTACATTCATTCCTCAAGAGGGATATACTCTTGCACTCCCCATTAATACACATCATGTTCTTGCCACAAGGGGTGCCCCAGTATCTGCTATCTCCAGTCCACTGTGATAGTCTGTACTACAACACATCTTGTTTCTAATTTTCGTTTGAATTATGCTGCTGTGTTCCTTCAAAGAGGGTAATACACCAACATTTTCACAATGGATTCAGCCACACAGAATATTCTTAGCACTGCATTTCTTATAATTTCCATGTCTAAGGCCACAGTTGCCAAAACGATCACCTTGACCATTCATATGACTGAAGCAAGCCCTTGAAGCACCAGTTGTTGCCAAATATCATTTTACACTGCCCACTGTGAGTTGTGCAATTTCCATGTTAGCAGTATACACCATCACTACACGGGGTGCCATCTTGTACATAAACATCTTCAGGACACCACTCTGAAGTTCCATTGCAGTACTCAGGGAGGTCACAGGGGCTACTCCTATCTCTGCAGACATAATGAGCTGGAAGATACTGACACTCAGCAGAACACTGTCCAAAAGCACAAGTGGCACCTGGGCGCAGCATGCAATTAGACTGGCAACATGGATCCAACTTGCATTGTTCTGGAGAACCGCAGTCACATTGCTCTCCATCTTCCACTACCTTGTTGCCACAGTATGGAGATTTAAACATTTTATCAGAGACTGGTGGAATGGATAAACATGGATAGAAGCAATGCGGCCGCGAGCTGGTAGCTTGAAAGCAAAACATAATGGGAATGTTGGGACTGTTCCGTGGGAAACAGAGGGACAGTCAATTCACAGTGCAGAGGGCACCGGAATTAGCTCAGAGTGTAATATGAGCTGTACAGGAAGTACAGGAGGTGTTTTGTCTCTCGACTGCTGAAGCTTGAAGAGAGCAGACATGATTTTTGTAACGCTGCAAAGACAGAAATAAAAGCATGTAAATACGTTTCTGTCTATCTCTCTCCCCTGCCTGGGGGGGGCAGGAAAGAGGGGTGTGTTCTTCTCACTCTGAGAAGGATTGCCTATCGCGACCTCTGCCTGGATCCTGCTGGGGAATGCAGACAGGGAGGTCAACAGGAGATCAAGCCGGGTGCCTGGAGAGTGGCCAGTTTCTCCTGATAAAGGCTTGAATCATAACATATGGTAGCAGAGGATGGTTTTGATCCATGAAAGCAACAAGAGAGGTTGATGGATCGTACTTCATGCTCTGCAAGGAGATAAAGAAAGAATGTGGTAGCGGGCGGATGGAAGCTACAAGGACGGCTGAGCACCGGAGGAGGTGTTTTTGCTGAGCAACAGATTCCCTCAAGGTATGGTGATTTTATGGCTGTGAGAGTGAACGCGAATTGAAGCATTCTTCGGTTCACTGAGTGTCTGCTTTTGGATGAAACCAGCACTGAAAGAGAGCCACATATTTCGCATACCTGAGTCTTGATAAGCCTGGAATGTCCAGTTGCTAAGCAACGAAACGTCAGTAAAGTGGAAAGTTACTAGCCAACACGGAAGTAAGGCTGAGCACTGTGAGAGGCTGGAAAAACACTGAGAAAACAGCGTTTGTTTTGTCTGTATATCTCACTGCTCTTGGAGGGACTTTCAAAACAGCCTGTGTTTAGCTGCCAAGTGTGAGGCAGTAAACAGCCAATAGACTTTTGGAGTTTACAGGCTCGAGAGTGAGAGCTGAGGCTTGGATTCAAAATGGATACCAAGAAGGGGGGAGGCTTACCTTACCCACCTCCACTGACTAATGACAATTATTCCTCATGGTCTGTAAAGATGAAAGCCCTGCTTCAGAATCAGAGGATTTTTGGGGTGATTGATAACCCCATCCCTGCTGCACCAACGCCAGGTTGGAATTCACAGAATGTGAGAGCCAGGACGGCCATAATTCTGTGTATCTCAGATGATCAACTCGTGCATATTCAGGATTTGGAATACGCGCGTGAGATTTGGCAAACGCTGCGTAGAATACATCAAAGAGATGCTGGTTCTTCAGCGTTGCTGCATTTTGAAAAGCTAACCAATCTAAGGCTAGCGCCTGATGGAGATGTACAAGCGCATCTGACAGAGATGAAATTCTTACGCCAGCAGATGGCGGAACGCAATTTCCCTCTACAGGAAGAGATATTCTGCTTCATGATTATTAACAGCCTTAATCGGACTTATAAAACGGTTGCAAGTCAGCTTGGTTCTCTACCTGCCGCAGATCTTTCGACGGAGAGAATTTGTGCCGTGATTCTCAATGAGAAAGACAGACTTGCTGCAATAGATGTCAAAGACAGGGGGAGAGAAGCTCGGAGTTCTGACACCCCCGCTGCTATTGCTAGTGAAGAACAGGCTGTTGCTTTGAACGTTGTCCGTTGTTTCAATTGTGGACAGACTGGGCATCTTCAGCGGAATTGTAAGAAGCCACGTCAACAGAAAGGAGCTAAGGGAGCTCTGCAAAGCCTGAGGCATCAGGCAAAAATCGTACCAAGTCCCAAGTGGAACCAGCTATGGCTTTGATGTCACTAAAAGCCACACCAGAAGTGGAAAACGCTTTTATTTTGGACACTGGAGCGACGCAACACATGACGTCGCGGCGAGATCTGTTTTCAACGTTTAAGAAGCAAAGCTTCACTGTGAAACAAGCCAACGGTCAGGAGCTGGAAGCGACCGGGTTTGGAACTGTGTATCTAGAGAGTCTGAACTTGACTATTAACAAGGTGTATTTGGTTCCTGATTTAAAGTTCAATCTGCTGAGTGTTTCGCAGATCACAAAGAAAGGACTGACTTTGTCCTATGATAAAGCTGCAAAATCTTCAAAGATGGAGAGCTGTATCTTTCTGCCAGAGAGAAAGATGGACTGTATTTGTTGACTTTTGATCAAAGTGATTGCATAAATTGTAATGCATCTGATTCGAACATGATTTCTCTCGCAGGTGTGTCAAAAAATGTCCAGAAGACGACGAAAGTAACTAAAGCTTTTCAGCGAGTGTATGCTGATGTGATTGGTCCTCTAGCACCATCTAGAGGCAATGCAAGATATTATCTTGTCTGTGTGGATTATTTCTCTCATTATGTGTGGGTATATATATTGCAGAAACCACAAGAAGCCTTAGAAAGGTTTAAAGAGTTTTGTGACAAGGTTAAGAATGTTCATGATGCTAACATTGGTTGTCTTTTCACAGATGAAAAGCCAGTTTTTCTTTTGCAGGATTTTCAGGATTTCCTGGACAAGAAAGGGATAAGGCACAAGACTGCTGTTTCAGCAGATGCATGGAACAAAAGTGTCTGTGTGCAAGTGAACAAAGAATTGCAAAATGGCATGAAGGCACAATTGCTGAGTTCACATTTGCCACATGAGTACTGGGCGGAATCGTTAATGTGTTTTTGTTACAGTTGGGTGAGAAAGGTTTCAAAAGGTTTGGGAAGTTCTCCTTTTGAAAAGCTATTCCACAGAAAACCTTCTGTTGCCCATTTTAAGGTTTTTGGGTCTCATGTGAAGACTGAAGCTCCAGGTGGAGTAAAGAATGCTAGAGGCATTTTTGTGGGTTATGAAAAGGGTCTCTACAGAGTAATTTTGTCTGAATCTGGTCAGGTGGTTCTCACAAAATTTCTAGAGAGTGCTCCTGAACAGGAGAGAGTAATTGTTCACACATTTCCCACTGAGGACGATTCAGATGATGATGATGATTTTACTGATTACAGTGGTACTGAGAATGACAGTGATAACTCAAAGAGCTCAGTTGACACAGTCATTGAGAGGAAATCTCACACAATGGATAGACCTTCACAGGTGAAGCATGAACCACTGTTTACTATTGGAACTGGTTCTCCAAAGAGTCCTGAGACTGAACCAGTGAGCAGAGAGGATCAGCACCTCATACGCAGGTCCGAGAGAGTTACAAAGGGTGTACCACCCAAGAGGTATTCAAAAGAGTTTGCTAACTCAGCTGTAGCATGTGTTACTATTGTTGACAACTCAAGACAGGTTGAAGCTGTGTCTAAGTCAGAGACAAAGACACAACAGAGAGTTGCTAAGCGTAACACTACATTCCCTAGCCAAGATAATGCAGATGCACTCATTCCTTGGAAGACAGACAACCAGAGAGGTACACTGGGGAAACCAGTGGCGGGTAGTTCCAAGGGTGGAACTGAAACAACAGGCGAGTGTTATATGTATAACAACTGTTTGTTTTCTTCTCTGGATCACGCTTTGCTCGCAGCGCATATTGATTCATATGGGGGAGTATGTTACGATATAGAAGCAATGCGGCTTTTGTTGACAGCAATGCCTTTGCAGAGGGCACCGGAATTAGCTCAGAGTGTAATATGAGCTGTACAGGAAGTACAGGAGGTGTTTTGTCTCTCGACTGCTGAAGCTTGAAGAGAGCAGACATGATTTTTGTAACGCTGCAAAGACAGAAATAAAAGCATGTAAATACGTTTCTGTCTATCTCTCTCCCCTGCCTGGGGGGGGGCAGGAAAGAGGGGTGTGTGTTCTTCTCACTCTGAGAAGGATCGCCTATCGCGACCTCTGCCTGGATCCTGCTGGGGAATGCAGACAGGGAGGTCAACAGGAGATCAAGCCGGGTGCCTGGAGAGTGGCCAGTTTCTCCTGATAAAGGCTTGAATCCTTAGCTTGTAGTACTCATTGTAACTGCAATTGCTAAACTTATCAGAGTTTGTGTGAAATGCAGCCATAAGGCATTCAGGCCGATCACATTTACAGTATTTTCCATCATGTTGCATGCCAAGATTATGTCCTAATTCATGAGTAAATATGACAGAAAATTCAAACAAACTAAAACCCATATATGATTCAACACCAATTGCCATATATTGATTGCAAATCGTTCCTAGGAAAGCTTTTCCAGGTGTAAAGTCAAAATTCTTATTTATGAATAAATGAGAAGCATCATTTTGTATATGCCTAGTGAGTGATTCTCTTTTCCAGAGATTAAAATTCTCTAGTGTAATATCCATATCATTATCAACTTTTATGGGGTTCCTTGCTGACCATATATCCAGTGCAGCTATAGACAACTCAACAGCAAGCGGCTCATATAGTGAGTTTGAAGTGTGGATGACATCCAAAACTTCCATAATAACATGACTTTCATTTCTGTTAAACTTGACATATAGTTGAGGCTCTATCACAATTGAAAGCTTCACATACCGGGTGTGTGCCCACCAGACTCCTGCAGCAGCACTTGGGGCTGCTGAATTCTTTGTATTTTGGATCAAGGCCAATTGATGACTCTGCTCTTCCTTTGTTAGCCCACACCTCATGTTAAAAGCATTCTCCTTTTCTTCCAACCTATACACCACGTGTTGAGAAGCAGCAGCAAGCGCCTGGATAGGTTCAACTTCATAGGTGTCATTTTCTAAGTGCAACAGACCCCTGAGGCCTCCTGAGCAAGTGCTGAGGGTGACCCAGGAGGAAGGCTTGTCTTGTACAAAGCCACAGTAGAAGCAGTCGTCTTTGATGAAAGGATAGTCCGTCTGGAGGTCTCCCTCCTTACTGTAAGTGAAGACAGGGAGGTGTTTAGCAGTGAAGCCCCTCTTCTGCCTCAGATGCACAACATGGACCTTCCCCTCCGTCTACAGCAGGTATGTGACATCATGGGGTTCTTGTAGTCCATATCTGGGGGTCAGTTTCCTTGGGATGACCACTTCATAAGAAGCATATCTAAATCCATGTGGAGGTTTCTGACCTGCATTCTCACTCAAAACATTCCATGAGATCAGCAGCAGCAGCCAGGCAAGTTCATTAGTCATTTTGCCTGACGGGTGAATGAATTCACTAGAGCACTCCACTCTTGCATGTCATTCAACACAGGGAAGCTTCTTTTGAACCTCAAGCAAGTTGGGAAGCAAGAGAATTATGTCCGTAGCAACAGTCAGTATATTCACCTTTGGAATTTGGACAGAGCTTGGTTGAGCACAGAACTTAGTACAGTGGTACCTCAGGTTAAGTACTTAATTTGTTCCAGAGGTCCGTACTTAACCTGAAACTGTTCTTAACCTGAAGCACCACTTTAGCTAATGGGGCCTCCTGCTGCTGCCGCGCCGCCAGAGCACAATTTCTGTTCTCATCCTGAAGCAAAGTTCTTAACCTGAAGCACTATTTCTGGGTTAGCGAAGTCTGTAACCTGAAGCGTATGTAACCTGAAGCGTATGTAACCTGAGGTACCACTGTAGAGAAAATGGATGGAAGAGAGGTTTAGCTGAACAGGCACTTACAGAACATAATAAAAACCCTGCTGGATAAGGCCAAAGGTCCATCTGATGCAACATATTGTTTCTTCAGTGGCCAAGCAGATGCCACTAGGAAGCCCACAATCAGGAACTGTATGTTTACCCCACTTGTGATAGGAAGTGCTATTGAGTCACATACTGCCTCTAATAATTGAGGCATGCCAGCCATTTTGGCAAGTAGCCTTTGATGCCTTATCCTTCATAGATTTTGTCTAACTCTGTTTTAAAGTCACACGAGTTGATGGCCATCATTGTACCTTGTGGGAGCAAATTATGCTTCAGGTTACAGACTCCGCTGACCCAGAAATAGTACCTCGGGTTAAGAACTTTACTTCAGGATGAGAACAGAAATCACGCAGCGGCTGCACACCGGCAACGGGAGGCCCCATTAGCTAAAGTGGTACCTCAGGTTAAGAACAGTTTCAGGTTAAGAACGGGCCTCCGGAACAAATTAAGTTCTTAACTCAAGGTACCACTGTACTGGCAGTAAAATACGCCTCAAGTAGGGGGAAAGGTGTAGGGTCCACCACAGAGGAGGCTGGTAAAAAGGAAGCGGAAAAGCAAATTCAAGACGGTAAAATCACTCCAAAATGTGTCTGAACACCTTTGGAGGTAACATGAACTTGCAATAATTTAACCTGAGTCATTATAAAACAAAGTAGCAGCCTATAGATGGATGGCTATTGTGCTTTAAAAACTGCTAGGGAGAAGGGTGTGTTTTGTGAGGAGGTAAGTTCTGGTTACAGAAAGCTGATTTCATAGACTTATTTTTAATGGTTTAAATTTTTTTTCTAGGAAACTTCACCAGAAGCAAAGAAATGTGCTTGTTTGAATTTACAATGAAGAGACAGATAGTTGAAGCTCACAAGAGCTTAACATTCCTTTCAAAACAAGTAGCAGAAGTTGTAGAATTGATAAATTCCCACTGTCCATGTGCAGAGTTTAGACTTCAAATGTTTTTCAGGCGAAAAAGCAGGAGGTCGTTGTGTTAATCCTGCCTCCTGCACTTATGGGCTCAATCTCCTACGGTTTCACAGAAGCATCCATACTTTTGTCTGAGAAATGTTGGATGGGTAGGGGAGCAGCTTGGCCACCCACTCCAATCTTTGGACCAGAGAGGAGAAGGAAGACAAGGTAAGTTGATAACACTGCTTCCTTTTCCTTGGCCTGTTCCCCCTGCAGGCTGCTCCATCCCCACCCTCCTCATCCCCTTCTAATTGGCCTGGAAGGGAAATTAGGATTCTGGGAAGGGAAAAAAGGGAATCTGGAATGCAGTGAAATGGTGGGCCTACTATTGGTGGAAAGGGATGGAACTCAGCCACAGGAGACACATACTTGCCTGACTGGCTCCCATCCTCCTTCCTTCTCATACAGGCAACTAGGGGAAACAGCTGACAGGCAGGCAGATGATTTCCAGAGAAAGTCACTCAGTTGCCTTGGTAAATATGGACATAGCATGATTAAAATATTTAAAGGTTTTCCTCCTTCAGTGGTGGGACCCCCTGGGTGCTTTAAAAATCCACACACTTCCTTAAGAATGGGTTCTTATTTGGGAACTAGAATTCTGCTCAGTGTTTAACACACATACACCCAATTAAAAAACCTGTGGCCCTCTAGATGTTGTTGGAAATGGTTCCCATCATCCCTGAACATTGTCAGTGCTGACTGGGGCTAATAGGGGTTGTTATCCAACAATACTTAGACTATCACAGCTTCTAAATCCATGAGGTAGAGGCAGTGCTATTTTTCCTAGAAAAAGAGGTGCCAGAACTCACTATGAATGTCTCTCTCATTCTCTAAGAATGGCAATGGCACCCACCTGACAGGTGCCAGAACTAAGTTTTGGTGAGTTGCAGATGGAAAAAAAAGCCCTGGGTGTAGTGAGGCTCAACATATAACGTAATTCTCCCCTGTTGAGAAAACCAAGATTTTCACAACCTAGAGTGCCTAGGAGGAAAATTTAATGAAAAGATTTTTTAAAATAATCAAAAACTTAGCAAATTGAATGTATATCTACATAGTACAATCTATTGTTTGTTCTGTATCTGGCACACTGCCAATTGTTCATTTCTGTGATCCATTTCAGAATTTCTTCTTTTTTGTGCTTGACAAACTCTTCTACTTAAATGTAAGAACTTCAGTCTCAGTCCGTTCCTGAAATAAATATCCAGACCAACAACAACAATAGTAGCAGAACAACAAATCCAATTACTTCTGTTAATCCTGCACTGAGATTGCTATGATCCAGAATGTTACCTCGTGGTGGAGGCCCGCTATCAATGCTGCCACCAAAGCCTTTAGAGAGGCAGTTTGGAGGGGCCCAGCCATAATCACAATGACAATGTTTATGAGTATTGCATATACCCCTACGGTGGCACTTTGTGAAATTACAATCATAGTTCAAGAGGGATACACTCTTGCACTGCCTATTAATGCATATCATGTCAGTGCCACAAGGAGTCCCATCTCTCACTGCTCCAATATCAGGTATCTCCATTCCACTGTGGTAGTCTGTACTCCAGCATTTCCTATTGCCAATGGGTGTATTAACTAGGGTGCTGTGTTCCTCCAAAGAAGGTAGTTTATAAACATTTTCACACTGGATTTTTCCACATAGGATATTCTTAGCACTGCATTTCTTATAGGTTCCATCTCTAAGGCCACAGTTGCCAAAGCGATCCCCTCGACCATTCAGTTCATTGAAGCAAGCCTTTGAAGCAGCTGTTGCTTCCATGCCAAAGATCATTTTGCACTGCTCACTGTGAGTTGTGCAATTTCCATGATAGCAGTATACACCATCACTACACGGGGTGCCATCTTGTACATAAACATCTTTAGGACACCACTCTGAAGTCCCATTGCAGTACTCAGGAAGATCACAGCTGCTAACCTCTTGTCTGCAGACATAATGAGCTGGAAGATACTGACACTCAGCACAACACCGTCCAAAAGCACAAGTGGCACCTGGGCGCAGCATGCAATTAGACTGGCAACATGGATCCAACTTGCATTGATCTGGTGAACCACAGTCACATTGCTCTCCATCTTCCACTACTTTGTTACCACAGTGTTTGAGTTTATACATTTTATCAGGCTCTGGTGGGATTAACAAACATGGAGTGTTCCTTAGCTCAAAATAATTCTGATAACTGCAGTTGCTAAACTTATCAGTGTTTGCCTGAGCTGCAGCCATAATGCAGGCATGTCGTTCACAAGTACAGTATTTTGAATCATGTTGCATGCCAAGATTATGTCCTAATTCATGAGTAAATGTATTAGAAAAATCAGACAAACTATAACCAACATATGATTCAACACCACATGCCCGATCAGTCCAACAGATTGTTCCTAAATATGATAATCCTCGCGTACGTCCAAAGCCCTTATATACAAATAAATGAGCAGCATCATTCTCTAGATGTTTATTTAGGGTGTTTGTTCTCCAGTCATTGAAATTGGAAAGCAGGGTGTAAATGTTGTTATCAATCACAATGAGGTTCTTTTCTGACCAAATCTCCAATCCAACAAGAGTCACAACGACACCAAGTGGCTCATATAATGAATTAGCAACATGAATGACATCTAGAACTCGCATAGCAGCAACAGTTTCATTTCTATCAATTCTCACATATCTTTCGTAATCCACAACAACTGCAACCTCTGCGTAACGGGTGTGTGTCCACCAACCTCCTTCTGGAGCACCCCTAGCCACTATATTCTCTGTTTTTTGGATCATGGTCTCTTGATGCCTTTGCTCTTCTTCTGTTAACCCACACGTCATACGTGCAGCACCCTCTATTTCTTCCAACCTATACATCACATGTTGAGAAGTAGATCTCTGCACAGGCTGAATTTCATAGGTGTCATTTTCTAAATGCAGCAGACCCCTGAGGCCCCCTGAACAAGTGCTGAGGGTGACCCATGAGGAAGGCTTGTCTTGTACAAAGCCATGGTAGAAGCAGTCATCTCTGATGAAAGGATAGTCCACCTGAAGGTCTCCCTCCTTACTGTAAGTGAAGACAGGGAGGTGTTTAGGGACAAAGCCCCTGTTCTGCTTGAGATGAACTACATGGCCTTTCCCCTCAATCTGCAGTAGGTAGGTGACATCATGATGTTCTTGTCCATACCTAGGGACTAGTTTTCTTGGGATGATCACCTCGTAAGAGGCATACATAAAGCCTTGTGGTGGTTTCTGACCTGTAGTCTCACACAAAACATTCCATGAGATCAGCACCAGTTGCCATGTGTGGCGGTTAGTCATTTTCCCTGAGAGGTGAAAGAATTCACTAGAGTGCTGTACTAATGCCTGTCATTCATGACAATCCCTTTTGGTCTGGAATGGTGGTGGAAATAAAGCTGCATGCTAACTAGAGCAGGAGGATGATTCTGACCATAGCAACACTCCGTAGATTTACTTTTAGAATGTGGGTGGAGCTTAGCTGATTGATGGAACAGAATGGAGAAGGAAGATGGTGGGTGGGAATGCATGAAAGCGTAATTACAGAGCATCAGAACTTAAAAAGCCCTGCTATGTCAGGTGAAAGGCCAATCTAGTTCAGCATCTTCTTCCCAAAGTGGCCAAACTGGGAAGCCTACTGTTAAGACTTCGGTGCTTTCCCTTTTTCTGATTCCTATCAACTGGTATTCAGAAACATTGGATTTCCACTGGATTTTACAAAATCATAGAATCATAGAATTGGTAGGGACCCTTAGGATCATGTAGCCCAGACATGTCCAATGTGTCAATCGCGGGATGGATTTTGGTCGAGCATGACCAAGGCCTCGTCACCTCTGCCCACCGCCCTCTCCCAGCAGCTGCCCTGTACTTAGCTAGGCTTGCTCACCACCGCCGCAGCAAGAGCTCTGGCTGGCGCAGGTGCTGCCTCCGCCTCCTTGCGGCCGCCTCAAGCGCCCTGCTCTGGCTGCCGGCTTTTCCGACGCCCAGTCAGCTAGCTGGCTCCAGAAACATGTGAGGTGCCTGCCTCTGCCCCCTGCAAGCCACAGTCCCGGGGCAAGGAGGTGGGGTTGACAATGAGGCACACATGCTCCGCAAGGGCTGTAGTGCTGCAGAGTGAGCCAAGGGAAGTGCGGCGCACAAGAGAGACAATGACACCCCTCCTACTGGTTCCTGTGGAAAGAAAATGCCAGGTCCCACGCCCCTCCACTCTCCATCTTAGTTCTGCGTGAGTGCTGAACTTTCCCCACCTTTCCAGCTCCAGCCTAGCTGTGTTTACATGAATGTAAGCCACACCCCCTCTTCCCACGGACCTCTTCGTCTGGAAAAGGGGAAGTTGAACATTTTGGCTTCCCACGTGCACCAAGGGCCCTGGGAGGGGCCTGGTGTGGGGGTAATAATTTGTTATTATTTTTATCACCATCATAATTTATTATTTATACCCCACCCATCTGGCTGGGTTTCCCCAGTCAAATATAATATGTTTAAGTTGAAGAATGACAATGGGAGAGTGTGGTAGATCATTTCCAGTTTTTGATACTGGATAGTAGATCACAGTTGTACATGTGTGATCTAGCTCAACCCCAGAAATATGCAGCTGTCCCATATGGGGATCGAACTTGCAGCCTTGGTGTTATAAGCACCACGCTTTAACCAATTGAGCTATTCATGCTGGATTAAAGTATTATATGTTTCACCTGCATATAGAGTTAAAGTGAACAAGATTATGTCTGCTCTCTTTCCACTGGCCTGAGGAAACAAAAAAGGATGTCCACTTTCACCTTTACTCTTTAATATATTGTGACAAAAGCCATGGCAAGAGCGCATGGGATCTCAGGTGCCCACACAGGGTCTATGTCCCTTTGGAGAATAGAAGACATGGTGGAGGCTGTTGTGCTTTAAGAAATAGGGTCTATTCACCTATTTACATCCTCAGTTTGCATGGAGGGGGTCCAGATCTTACAGCATGGCCCAAAGCATTGCAGGCAGTCCTTCCTTCTCCCTTCCCATAATGGATCTCCCCCCTTCTTCTTCCCAGAAACCCTTTGCCCTTCCCCAGAGCAGTTACCCTGGCAACCTTCCAATTCTACAGTCTCCGATCACGCTTGGGGCTAGAAGTGCCATTCTCTTTTTAACAACTCACAATGGCTTTCTTAAGGGACCTAGTTTGGCCAGGCTACCCAGGAATTCCTTTGCAGCTTATATTCTCCCCTCATATCACAAATAACCCCACATCCTAGCATTTATTAATTTCAGTGTTTAGGGGGATGTTTAAAACCCCTGGCTTGCGCTATCAGACAGCATTGTGAGATTCATGGAGCAATTCACAATTCAGTCGAATATAAATTGTTTTTATTTGCAGATGATCCCCTTCTGTTTATTTTGAAGCCAATAATAATAATAATAATAATAATAATAATAATTTATTTATACCCCGCCCATCTGGCTAGGTTTCCCCAGCGACTCTGGGTGGCTTCCAACAAAATATTAAAATACAATAGTCTATTAAACATTAAAAGCCTCCCTAAACAGGGCTGCCTTCAGATGTCTTCTAAAAGTTTTCTCTTTGACATCTGGTGGGAGGGCGTTCCACAGGGCGGGTGCCACTACCGAGAAGGCCCTATGCCTGGTTCCCTGTAACTTGACTTTTTGCAGCGAGGGAACCACCAGAAGGCCCTCGGCACTGGACCTCAGTGTCCGGGCAGAACGATGGGGGTGGAGACGCTCCTTCACATATACTGGACCGAGGCCGTTTAGGGCTTTAAAGGTCAGCACCAACACTTTGAATTGTTCTCGGAAACATACTGGGAGCCAATGTAGGTCTTTTCAAGACCGGTGTTATGTGGTCTCGGCGGCCGCTCCCAGTCACCAGTCTAGCTGCCGCATTCTGGATTAGTTGTAGTTTCTAGGTCAGCTTCAAAGGTAGCCCCACGTAGAGCGTATTGCAGTAGTCCAAGCGGGAGATAACCAGAGCATGCACCACTCTGGCGAGGCAGTCCGCAGGCAGATAGGGTCTCAGCCTGCGTACCAGATGGAGCTGGTAAACAGCTGCCCTGGACACAGATTTGACCTGTGCCTCCATGGACAGCTGTGAGTCCAAAATGACTCCCAGGCTGCGCACCTAGTCCTTCAGGGGCACAGTTACCCCATTCAGGACCAGGGAGTCCTCCACACCTGCCCGTCTCCTGTCCCCCAAAAACAGTACTTCTGTCTTGTCAGGATTCAACCTCAATCTGTTAGCCGCCATCCATCCTCCAACCGCCTCCAGACACTCACACAGGACCTTCACCGCCTTCACTGGTTCTGATTTGAGAGATAGAGCTGGGTATCATCCCCATACTGATGAAACCCAGCCCAAACCCCCTGATGATCTCTCCCAGCGACTGCATGTAGATGATGAAAAGCATGGGGGAGAGGACAGAACCCTGGGGCACCCCACAAGTGAGAGCCCAGGGGTCTGAACACTCATCCCCCCCCCCACTTTCTGAACACGGCCCAGGAGGAAGGAGCAGAACCACTGTATGACAGTGCCCCCAGCTCCCAGCCCCTCTAGACGGTCCAGAAGGATGTTATGGTCGATGGTGTCAAAAGCCACTGAGAGATCCAGCAGAACTAGGAAACAACTCTCACCTTTGTCCCCAGCCCGCCGGAGATCATCAACCAGTACGACCAAGGCAATTTCAGTCCCATGATGAGGCCTGAATCCTGACTGGAAGGGATCCAAATGGTCCGCTTCTTCTGTCGTGCCTGGAGTTGTTCAGCAACCACTCACTCAATCACCTTGCCCAAGAATGGAAGATTTGAGACTGGGTGATAGTTGGCCATTTTGGCCACATCTAAAGATGGTTTGTTAAGGAGCAGTTTGATAACCGCCTCTTTTAGCAGGTCTGGGAAGGCTCCCTCACAGAGAGAAGCATTCACCACCCCGCAAAGCCCATTACCTAGCCCTTCCCGGCTAGCTTTTATAAGCCAGGATGGACAAGGATCAAGGAGACAGGTGGTTGGTTTCACTCGTCCAAGCAGCCTGTCCACATCCTCGGAGGTAACAGGTTGGAATTGATCGCACACAATATGTCTAGACAGAACTCTAGCACTCTCCCGCCCCAGTCCTGCTCCCACGGTGGAGTCTACCTCTTCCCGAATCTGAGCGAATTTATCTGCAAAAACTTTGCAAAATCATTGCAGGAGATCATGTGGCCTGTACTGGGCCCTGATGGAGCAGATGGTTCCGCTAAATTGCAAACCACCTGAAAGAGTCTCCTGCTGCTGTTTTCTGCAGATGCAATAGAGGCGGTGAAGAAAGTCTTCTTTGCTGTCGCTACCGCCACTTGGTAGGCTCGACATTGAGCTCTAACCTGTGTCAGGTCAGCTTCAGAATGAGTTATCTGCCACCGGCGCTCTAGCCATCTCAGCGATTGTTTCATTGCCCCCAGATCTGTGGAAAACCACGGGGCTGTCTGGGCTCCATGCAATCGGAGAGGGCGCTTCAGAGCCAAACAGTCAATAGCCCTGGTTAACTCCACATTCCAGCGGGCCACCAGGGAATCAGCTGAAAGGCCATCAACATGGGATAAAGCATCCCCTACCACTCTCTGGAAACCATTTGGATCCATTAAGTGGTGGGGGCAGACCATCCGAATCAGTCCCACCTCCCTGCAGAGGGGAAGGGTCACAGAGAAGTCCAGTTGCATCAGGAAGTGATCTGACCATGGCACTTCTTTAGTTTCGGTTTTACTTGGTGTCAGATCACCAACATCCATAGAGGTGAACACTAGGTCTAAGGCATGTCTGCGGCTATGAGTTGGGCCAGACTTATTCAGGGATAGCCCCATGGAGGCCATGCTTTCCACGAAGCCCTGAGCGGCCCCTTGTAAGGTTGTGTCAGCATGGATGTTAAAATCCCCTAGGTGTCTCCAGGAGAACATCTGCCATGACCTGAAGCAGCTTGGGCAGGGAATCCTTGGTGCAGCAGGGAGGTTGGTACACCAAAAGGAATCCTGTACTGCCCCTATTGCCCAACTTTCAGAACATGCACTCAGAGAACTGGGTCTTCCCAACAGAACGCCTGGTGCAAACTAATGGCTTCCTAAAAATCACTGCAACCCCCCCCCCTCACCGCCCACAAGGCCTGGGTTGCTGTGCGTAAGAGAAACCTGGTGGACAAGCAGTGGCAAGGACAGGCCCATCTGCTTCATCCAACAAAGTCTCTGTTACACATGCCAGGTCAAGACCTCCATCCACAATCAAGTCATGGATAGCAGTGGTCTTATGAATCATTGACCTGGCATTGCACAGCAGTACGTTCAGGTTATGGGGGTATCCCTTGCTGATTCCAGTGTCCATCTGGTCAAGACCAGACCCGGAGGCAGGGATAGTTCTCAAACAGTGATTAAATCTGCCTCCTTAGTAATGACATGGTCTGGTCTTAGCGTAACTCCTCCTCCTACCCATGATCACTGAGATCTGTTGTCCCAGTGCATCCCCCTCTGTGGAACCTGCCCCAGCCATTTTGTTGGCTGGGACACACTCCCAGGCATCCCTAACCCCTCCCCTTAAGAACAAAAAACAAAACACAATAAAACCCAAAACAGTAAAAACTACAAACATACCAAAATTGCAAACATACCAAAACAGATTCCCAAACTCAACTAAACATCCATCGCACTCCCCACACCAAAAAGGAATTTAAAAAGGTAAAAAAGAAATTTAAAAAAAACATTTAAAAACTAGTATTCCTAATTTGATGTAAACAATTGAAGCTTGGGGTAAAATATCAGGATACTCGATTAATTGATCCAAATTGGAATTGATGCCAATAGGTGAAAATTCAATTACCCATTCACTTAAAAGGTAAAGGTAAATGACCCCGACAGTTAAGTGTAGTCACAGACGACTCTGGGGTAGCGGCGCTCATCTCGCTTTACAGGTCAAGGGAGCTGCAGACAGTTTTTCCGGATCATGTGGCCAGCATGACTAAGCCACTTCTGGCACAACAGAACACCGAAACCAGAGCAGTGCACGGAAATGCCGTTTACTTTCCCGCCGGAGCGGTACCTAGTTATCTACTTGCACTTTGACGTGCTTTCGAACTGCTAGGTTGGCAGGAGCTGGGACCAAGCAACGGGAGCTCACCCCGTCACGGGGATTCAAACCGCTGACCTTCTGATCAGGAAGCCCAAGAGGCTCTGTGGTTTAACCCACAGCGCCACCAGCATCCTACCCATTCACTTAAGCAAATTCACTGAAGCAATATCAATTCTAGATTTGTATGTTAACACCAAGAGATATAACTCAGCTAGTAACAGTAAACATAAATGAAATAAATAAAATAACAAACATAAATTTTAAAAAAGAGGCTTCCCTAGATACCTAAAGGAGTGTCTCCACCCCCAGTGTTCAGCCTTGTCGCTGAGGTACAGCGCTGAGAGCCTTCTAGAAGTTCCTTCACCGAAGAAAGTGAAGTTATAGGGAACCAGGCAGAGGGCCTTTTTGGTAGTGGCCCCTGCCCTGTGGAATGCCCTCCCATCAGTTGTCAAGAAGATAAATAACTATACAACTTTTAGAAGAAATATAAAGGCAGCCCTATATAGAGAAGGTTTTCTTAATGTTTAATGTTTTACAGTGGTACTTCGGGTTACAGACGCCTCAGGTTACAGACTCCACTAACCCAGA